TTGAGGTCACTGGTGACTCAGGTCCTGCTGGGGGTGGTCCTGCTCGGGGTGCTACTTCTGGGGGTGCTGAGTCTGGGGGTGCTGAGCCTGGGGGTGCGGAGCCTGGGGGTGCGGAGCTTGAGGGTGTAGAGCCTGGAGGTGCTGAGCCTGAGTGTGAGGGGTCTGGAGGTGCTGGAGCTGGTGGTTCTGGGGCTGCTGAGGGTGCTAGCGCTGGAGGTTCTGGAGCTGCTGGAGGTCCTGGTGCTGGTGGCGCTGGAGCTGCTGAGGGTGCTGGCGCTGAGGGTTCAGAGTCTGCTGTTGCGCGGTCTCCTTGGAGTAGCCGCCTTCGTCCACGTGTGCCACTCACCTCGCAGCAGCTGCACGACTGGTACGGTCGCCGTCAGGGTCGCGCTGCTGGAGCCCGGGGCTCTACTGCTGGAGGTACTTCTGCTGCCGTCCCTGGCGCTAGGAGTGGTGCTGGTACTGTTTCTACTGGAGGTGCTGGAGTCGCTGGTCCCGGAGGTGCTCGTACTGGAGGTACTGGAGCTGCTGGGGCTGGGGGTGCTGCGTCTGGAGGTGCTGCTGCTGGAGACACCGAGGCTGGAGACCCTGGGACTGGAGGTGCTGGTTCTGGGGGTGCTGCTGCTGGAGACGTGGAGGCTGGAGACCCTGGGACTGGAGGTGCTGGCTCTGGGGGTGCTGCTGCTGGAGACGTGGAGGCTGGAGACCCTGGGACTGGAGGTACTGGTTCTGGGGGTGCTGCTGCTGGAGGCACTGGGGTTGGAGACCCTGGGCCTGGAGGTGTCGGTTCTGCTGCTGGAGCTGCTGGAGGTGCTGGAGCTGCTGGGGGTACTGGAGCTGCTGGAGCTGCCGGTTCTGGTGCAGCTGCGCCGCCACGACTGTTCTTCGCTCCGCCGTCTCCGTCGTCTCTGCCGCCGCCTGACTCTGTTCTTCGTCAGGTTCTTACTCTCCCGTCGTCTACTGGTCTTCCGTTACAGCCTGGCTCACCGCTGCCTGCTCCTTCTCCTTACACTGAGCAGACGGGTAGCCTTGCTGAGCGTCGTGAGCCTGCGTCGCGTCCTGTCTCGCCTGTTCGTCCTAGTCGTACCGGTCGTCGTGTTCCGCGTCCGCGTTCGCCGCCTGTCCCCACCGCACACCTTGTCGTCCGTCGTCCTTCCTCTGTTCCGCAGTCTGTTTCTCTGCCGTCTCCTCCTGCGTCTTCCTTGACTCACATTCCGGACCCTGAGTCTGACCGGTTTCGTGCTGAGCACCCTACTGTCACGCGTCTGCTCGCCACTGTTGTCACTGACCCCTCGTTTGAGTCTGCTGCTGCGACAGCTTTGGTTGCCGAGCTTGTTGACTTTGCGGCTGCCTGTCGTCTAGACTACGCTGCTAGTCTTGTCGCTGAGTCTGAGTCTGTCTGTCCTCCGTCCGTCGGGGGTGAGTGTGCTCTTAGCACGGACGTCCTTGAGGACATGCACGAGGACCTTGAGTGTCTTGCAGCCGCTGCGCCTCATCTCGTGACCATGCTGCTTGCCCCTGAGGGAGACCCGAATGCACTAGACATCCCCACCCCGCGCTCGTACGCTGAGGCGGTCGCGGGTCCCTACTCCTCTCAGTGGCAGGCAGCCATGGACGCAGAGATGGCATCCTGGAAGTCCACAGGCACTTACGTCGACGAGGTTCCCCCTCCTGGGGCGAACATCGTCAGTGGCATGTGGATTTTCAGGGTGAAGCGGCCGCCTGGTTCTCCGCCTGTCTTCAAGGCACGTTACGTTGCTCGAGGCTTCAGTCAGCGAGAGGGGGTTGACTTCTTCCAGACCTTCTCCCCCACCCCGAAGATGACCACTCTTCGGGTACTGCTGCACGTTGCCGCCCAGCGTGACTACGAGCTTCACTCGCTTGACTTCAGCACAGCTTTCTTGCAGGGCAGCCTGCACGAGGAGATCTGGCTGCGCCGCCCACCTGGCTTCACTGGGTCGTTCCCTCCTGGTACCCAGTGGAGCCTCCGCTGGCCAGTCTACGGTCTCCGTCAGGCGCCTCGTGAGTGGCACGACACACTGAGGACTACGCTTGCGGCTCTCGGGTTTGCGCCCTCCACAGCTGACCCGTCACTGTTTCTGCGCACAGACACTTCGTTGCCGCCGTTCTACATCCTCGTGTACGTCGACGACTTGGTCTTTGCCACTGCTGACACTGAGGCTCTCGCCCTGGTGAAGTCCGAGCTGCAGAAGAGACACACGTGCACAGACCTGGGTGAGCTGCGCAGCTACCTTGGCTTGCAGATCACCAGGGACAGAGCACGTCGCACCATCACTCTGACTCAGTCACACATGGTGCAGCAGGTCCTTCAGCGCTTCGGCTTCACCTGGTCCTCGGCACAGTCCACTCCTCTGGCTACAGGTCACTCGCTCTCAGCTCCACCTTCGGACGAGTCCGTAGAGCCGAGTGGTCCTTACCCAGAGCTAGTAGGCTGCCTCATGTACTTGATGACTTGCACTCGTCCTGACCTTGCGTACCCTCTTGGCCTTTTGGCCCGCTACGTGGCTCCTGGTCGGCACCGAAAGGTGCACTGGGATGCTGCGAAGAGGGTACTGCGCTACTTGTGCAGTACATCGGGCATGGGGCTCGTGCTTGGAGGACGGCGAGAGGTGGTCCTCACTGGGCACTCAGACGCGTCTTGGGTTGACGACCAGGCTACACAGCGGTCGTCACAGGGTTACACTTTCAGCCTCGGCTCTGGTTCTGTTTCGTGGCGTTCTACTCGCTCGTCTTCTGTTCTCAGCTCCAGTTGTGAGGCTGAGATCTACGCCACCGCCATGGCTGCTCAGGAGCTGCGCTGGCTCACCTACCTGCTGACCGACCTGGGAGAGCGGCCTCGTTCTCCTCCAGTTCTGTACGTTGACAACAAGGCAGCCATTGCCTTGTGTGAGGAGCACAGACTGGAGCACAGAACGAAGCACATCGCTCTGCGTTACTTCCTGGCTCGAGAGTTGCAGCAGCGTGGTCAGCTTCGTCTTGCACACGTGGCCACTCGGGCCAACACTGCTGATATATTCACCAAGGCACTTCCGTCTGGTGATCATCAGCGCTTTTGTACCTTGTTGGGCCTTGTGCCTACGTTTCCACACTTGCTGTAGACTCTGCCTGTACTGTGATCTTTATATATATATATATACCTGCATGCTTGCTCTTGCTAGGTAGTGATCACTGTACTTTGTTTGTTGCATATATACCTCTGCATGTGGACAGGCCTTGTGGCCCTTTGCTTGTGCTCAGTCTGTGTGGTGACGTTGTGATCCACCCTGAGCTTGTTTTGTTTCTCTTGACTGGTCTTGTGACCCCTTGTTCTCCCCCACTTTGCCTATGGGGGTGTGTCAAACTATGCATATTGTGTTTGTGTAGGCTGCTAGTGGGGTAGCCCATATGGGGTACAACCCAATGTTAGGGTTAGCTTATGTACCCAACACTTCATCAATGCAACTCATTCCTGCTGTCAGATTCTAACACTCTTCACCACTGGTCCCTGTCAGAGGTCCACTGGTGATCCCCGATTGATCCTAGGGAAGGGTTACAGGCATGGCGGCCTGGGGGGTTATGGGCGCACTCACCCGCTACACAAACAAGCCCTTTTATCCTAGTGGTTAGTGACTGGGATTCTGACATGGTATCAGAGCAAAGGTCTCGGGTTCGAATCTCGGTGTGTGCACCTCGGGCATCCCAGTGCGGGGGGGTGTCAGAGGTCCACTGGAGATCCCCGATTGATCCTAGGGAAGGGTTACAGGCATGGCGGCCTGGGGGGTTATGGGCGCACTCACCCACTACACAAACAAGCCCTTTTATCCCAGTGGTTAGTGGCTGGGATTCTGACAGTCCCCTCCACTTGCTCTGACGATTCACTCACTACTCACTCCACCTAAGAACTCCCACCCCTCCACCACTCACCACTCTCAACTCTCACTGCAAATCACCTTTCTCTCACCACCCACTCTCACCACTCACTCAATCTAACCACCTCACCATACCCACCCACAACTCATTGTAACCACTCACTCTCACCACTCAGTATCACCACACTCTTGGCATTGTGACCACTCAATCTCACCACACTCTCACACCACTCAAACTCACCACTCAAACCACCTCCTCACCACTCAAACCACCTCCTCACCACTCAAACCACCTCCTCACCACTCAAACCACCTCCTCACCACTCAAACCACCTCCTCACCACCCACTGTGCTCTCACTCTCACTACGAAGTCACATTAAATCTGGGCATTTAAAATCAGCTGCTCTCATGCAACAGGTGGCATCAGTGCCATACGGCTCATCATGTGCCACCAACCAAGCATGAGCATCATGCTCTCATGCAACAGGTGGCATCAGTGCCACCCAAGGGGACTCAGCCCCTTTCACTTGCACTCACCCACCCAAGGGGACTCAGCCCCTTTCACTTGCACTCACCCACCCAAGGGGACTCAGCCCCTTTCACTTGCACTCACCCACCCAAGGGGACTCAGCCCCTTTCACTTGCACTCACCCACCCAAGGGGACTCAGCCCCTTTCACTTGCACTCACCCACCCAAGGGGACTCAGCCCCTTTCACTTGCACTCACCCACCCAAGGGGACTCGGCCCCTTTCACTTGCACTCAACCACCCAAGGGGTTTCAGGCCCCTTTCACTTGCACTCACCCACCCAAGGGGTTTCAGCCCCTTTCACTTGCACTCACCCACCCAAGGGGACTCAGCCCCTTTCACTTGCACTCACCCACCCAAGGGGTTTCAGGCCCCTTTAACTTTCACTCACCCACCCAAGGGGACTCAGCCCCTTTCACTTGCACTCACCCACCCAAGGGGTTTCAGGCCCTTTTCCCTTCCACTCACCCACCCAAGGGGTTTCAGGCCCCTTTCCCTTCCACACCACCCAGCCCATCCCCACCATTACCTGCCAGCAGTAGGAGCAACAGAGAGCCCACTTTCTTAAGGAAACAGCAACCCCTGAGGCTGAGCCTTGTGGGATGAAGTGTGGTAGTGAAAAATCGCTTCCAGCCCAAGACTCAAATCCCACCCCTGACGTAGCTAGAGCTGACGCGAACCAGAGCCGCCGGCCGGTCGGCTCTGACGGTGTCCATTAAGCCTTAACGTCAGGTTAGTTACTTGAGCACCGAGTGCCGTGCTGCATAGATTCCACCCACCACACCCCAACTCACAAGTTACAACCCCAGAGGATGCTGCCCCTAAGGCAGTGAACTCCCCGCTTGCTCCCATGCTCCCAACCCTCCCTCCCCATACTTCACCCCCATGCAAACTTACCTCTACCTACCTTAGCCGTGCAGAGCGCCATGATGCTGAGGCTGCTGGGAAGTGGAGGCAACACCAGTGAGGAGGAGGAGGCAACACCAGTGAGGAGGAGGAGGAGGAGGAGGAGGAGGAGGAGGAGGAGGAGGAGGAGGAGGAGGAGGAGGAGGAGGAGGAGGCAACACCAGTGAGGAGGAGGAGGCAACACCAGTGAGGAGGAGGAGGAGAAGGAGGCCACACCAGTGAGGAGAAGGAGGAGGAGGAGGCAAAACCAGGGAGGAGGAGGAGGCAAAACCTAGAAGGAGGAGGAGGAGGAGGAGGAGGAGGAGGAAGAGGAGGAGGAGGAGGAGGAGGTGGAGGAGGAGGAGGAGGAGGAGGAGGAGGAGGAGGAGGAGGAGGAGGAGGAGGAGGAGGAGGGAGAGGAGGAGGAGGAGGAGGAGGAGGTGGAGGAGGAGGAGGAGAAGGAGGAGGAGGAGGAGGAGGAGGCAACACCAGTGAGGAGGAGGAGGCAACATCAGTGAGCATGATGCTCATGCTTGGTTGGTGGCATATGATGAGCCGTATGGCACTGATGCCACCTGTTGCATGAGAGCAGCTGATTTTAAATGCCCAGATTTAATGTGACTTTGTAGTGAGAGTGAGAGCACAGTGGGTGGTGAGGAGGTGGTTTGAGTGGTGAGTTTGAGTGGAGTGAGAGTGTGGTGAGATTGAGTGGTCAGAATGGCAAGAGTGTGGTGATACTGAGTGGTGAGAGTGAGTGGTTACAATGAGTTGTGGGTGGGTATGGTGAGGTGGTTAGATTGAGTGAGTGGTGAGAGTGGGTGGTGAGAGAAAGGTGATTTGCAGTGAGAGGTGAGTGTGGTGAGTGGTGGAGGGGTGGGAGTTCTTAGGTGGAGTGAGTAGTGAGTGATTTGTCAGAGCGAGTGGAGGGGACCAGTGGTGAAGAGTGGTGAGGAGTGGTGAAGACTCGGATCGGATCTGTGGTGGTGATGGGAGTGAGTGGTACGAGTGTAGGAGTTGAGGAATGAGAGTAGACATAGTTTAGAGTGCATGAGTGAGTGGTGAGAGTGCAGTGAGGATGGATGTGTATGCATACCGGTATTTGCACACACGTATACAGGTGTGTGTGCACTGCAGTGTTCATTCGACTGTGATCGCGTGTGCGTGTATATGATTCACTTTGTACCGGTATTTTTCATACTGACCAGCAGGTTTTACCTTCACCTAAGATTCTGGGGGAGTATTGGTTTGATTATCCGTAGTCTATGTTCATGGTTCATTAGTGTGACCATACTACTCTCTGAAACAGTTGTTTTCGTAAGTGCTTCGATAAAAAACACCTTGATAAGGGCAAAAAGTGGTGTTTCATACCGTAGGAACGTCTTGGGATGGGGGTCATTATTTTGCCTGCTGGTTTTACAACACCTAAAATCTACATATCTCATACAGTACCATCAGTTATTACATACATTGTGCAAGATTGCTTTCTTGTGTTTGCAAACGGATAGTACATCTAATGCAGTGAGAGCAATGTTTTGTACGGTATCAGACAAACAAAGCAACAGCCTGCATGGGAAAACCGATTGCTCAGTTGACTCGTAAGTTCCAAACTGCCAGCGTCAGTAACAGTCGGACACAACCGCTACTGACGTGCTCGTTGCATGTCCCAATGATGGTCTTGTGGCTGCTGCAGCCTCTGCTGCAAAACATTGTTGAATATGTCCAAAATGGTGGGTTTGCCCGAGTTTAGAAACAGTCGGACGCAACCGCTACTGATGTGCTCGTTGCATGTGCCGATGATGGGCTTGTGGCTGCAGCAGCCTCTGCTGCAAAACGAGTGCTCCCAGTGGCTGGCCGTGTGCCCCCACCAGCTAACGCTGCATCAGTGTCTGTATATGCAACAGCAGCAGAAGCAGGAGCAGCCGGAGCGGACGCAGTAGGAGTAGCAGGAGCAGTTGGAGGAGGAGCAGGAGCAGCAGCGGTAGCAGGGGGAGGCGACGAGAAGGAAAAGCCAGCTTGGTTGGGGTTGGGAGAGGGCCACTTGCTGACCCACTGGCCGAAAAGCTCAGAGGAATCTACTCTAGACGCATGTAGCCCTGCTGCTGCTGTCGCACCCGCATCAGCAGACAGAGCCCCCACTGCTCCTGTTACTCCCGCTACTCCCCCCGCTCCTGACCCTCCTCCTGCTCCTCCTCCTGCTCCTGCTCCTCCTGCTACTGCTGCTGCTGCTGCCACCGCTATTGCTCTTGCACCACCAGCAGCGCCCATGCCATCGCTGCCATCACTGCCACCCCCAGAGCAACCGCTGCCAAAGACCGGCGGGGTGGTGGTGGAAATGGACGGGAGAGGCGACGCGTTGAGAGGCGAGTCGGCGAGATGAAGCAGCTCGGCAGAGCTGAGCCGCGCAAGCCTGGCTGCTGCGGCCGCGAGCGCGGACGGCGTGAGGGACTCCCCGAACAGATCCGTCGAGTTCTGCCGCCCGAAGAGGTCGGCCGAGTTCTGCCGCCCGAACAGATCAGCCGAATTTTGCCGGCCGAAGAGCTCCCCGGAGCTCTGGCGGCTGAAGGCGTCTGCAGGGTTGTGCAGGAGAGAGGCCGCGAGGGAGGCAGCGAAGGAAGGGCTGCTGAGATAGGAGGCGATTGAGGGACTGCCTATGTTGAAAGGGACAGGGGCGTTGCCCATGGTGAACTGGAGATTGAGGCTGGGACTCCCCATGTTAAAGGGGAGAGGGCCAGAGGGCACTCGGAAGGGGAAAGGCGAGGGAGGAGGTTGCGTGGTGGAGGGTTCTGCTGCTGCTGCTGCTGCTGCTCCTGCTGAAGGCTGTGTCTGTGGCTGTGCTGGTGGTGTCTGTAGCAGTGGTTCAGACGAGTCCCCTGCTGTCCCTGCTGCTTCACCGACCCAATGGTCTAGGGATGACTGCTTGGGAAAGAAGTGACGGGGGCCCGCAGCAGCAGCAGCAGCAGCAGCAGCAGCATCAGCAGGTGCGCCTGCTTCTGTCCCTGCTGCTTCACTGTTGCTGCTAGGGTTGTTGCCAGCACTGACCCAATCGTCTACCAGAGAGGACTGCTTGGGAAAGAAGTGACGGGGGCCGGCAGCGGCAGCAGCATCGTCCCCACCCTCACCACCATCCGAATCACTACCACCATCATCATTCTTATCATCATCATCACCACCACCACCACCACCACCACCACCACCACCACCACCATCACCATCATCACCATCACCACGAGCAGCATCAGAAGCAGCAGGAGGTGCAGCAGCCGCAGCAGCAGGAGCAGCGGACACGCGAGCGGCAGATGCCTGAGCAGAAAGCATATGGGCGACAGAAGCGGCAGCCATGGCTGCTTTCTCCGCCTGTGCGATCACCAGCAGCGGGTCGTCTGCTGCGTCCGTTGCTGGCGGCAGCACCGATGCTGTTGCTCGCTTCAGCTCCCAGCGACCACCTGAAAGGGAGAGAAAGGAGCATGAGGAGAAGGGGGATAAGGGAATAAATTTTGAAGCTCTTCAAGAACCAGCAGTGGATCGTCTGCTGCGTCCGTTGCTGGCGGCAGCACCGATGCTGTTGCTCTCTTCAGCTCCCAGCGACCGCCTGAAAGGGAGAGAAAGGAGCATGAGGAGAAGGGGGATAAGTGAATAAATTTTGAAGCTCTTCAAGAACCAGCAGTGGATCGTCTGCTGCGTCCGTTGCTGGCAGCAGCACTGATGCTGTTGCTCGCTTCAGCTCCCAGCGGCCGCCTGAAAGGGAGACAAAGGAGCATGAGGAGAAGGGGGATAAGGGAATAAATATTGAAGCTCTTCAAGGACCAGCAGTGGATCGTCTGCTGCGTCCGTTGCTGGCGGCAGCACCGATGCTGTTGCCCGCTTCAGCTCCCAGCGACCCCCTGAAATGGGAGGGGGAGATTAGAAGATAGGGAACGAGGGAAGAAGAAAGGCATGAGGGGAAAGGAAGGGAGGCGAGGCAAGGAAGAGACAGAGGGAACGGGCGCGAGACGGAGCGAAGGAGGGACGGAGGGAGTAAGTCAAAGGGGGCGAGAAGAGGGAGAGAGAGAGAGGGAAGGGGAGAAAGAATCACGGGAGCAAGGAGAGAGCATGGTGAGGGTGGATGGCGATGGCTGAGGTCCCCACGATGCTAATTTGTGGTGTTTATAAAAAACCAGGTGCGACGCGGGGGATGGGAGGCGAGACAGAGAGACAGAGACTCACGGGAGCAAGGTGACAGCATGCTGAGGGTGGATGGCGATGGCTGAGGTCCCCACGGAGACGCATTCGCATTGAAACTTGCACTTGCATTTGCATTTGCATTCGCATTCGCATTCGCATTCGCATTTGCATTTGCATTTGCATTTGCAGCGCCACCACTAGCCGCAGCCGTGGCAGAAGCAGAGGCGTTAGCAAAAGTGTCAGCCACAGCAGCAGCAGCAGTAGCAGCATCTCCAGCGGAAGAAGGAGCAGCACCACTACCACCACCACCGTCACCACCGCTGCCACCATTCCGAGCAGCAGGAGGAGCAGTAGCAGCCGCAGCGAATGAGGGTTTGGCGGGCAGAGGCAAGGCAGGAGGTGAAGCGAAGAGGGGAGGGCGCGGAGGTTTTGGCTTGCAGGGAGACGGAGAGAGGGAGAGCTCTGTTCCCGCTCCTTGGCGGCCTTCTGGTGTGCTGTGGGGGGACAGAATGAGGAAAGATGGGGCGGATGGGGTAGGGAGGGGTGCGTAAGGGGGCTGGAGAAAATGGCAACCAGCTACTTGCAGGGGGACAAAGAAAGGGAGAGCTCTGTCCCTGCTCCTTGGCGGCCTTATGGCGTGCTGTGGGGAGACAGAAGGAGGGAAGAGGGGGAAGAGCGGGAAGAATGGGGTAGGGAGGGGAGCAAAGAGGCTGAATGTGTTGAATATGACAACCAGCTACTTGCAGTGTGACAGAGAGGGGAAGAGCTCTGTTCCGGCTCCTTGGCGGCCTTCTGGCGTGCTGTGGGGAGACATGGCAGGCGGAAGAGGGGGGGAATGGGGTAGGGAGGGTGGGGCATTGAAGATCTGGATAAAAGGAGATTGGGATTGGGAGTATTGGAGATTGGGAGGGGAGTGGGTGGAGCAGTGAAGATAGAACCAATAGGGGGTAGATGAAATTGGATTGAGGCGGTTGGTCATTGGGAATTGAGGCAGTTAGTTAACGACCCATACCACGCAAGGATATTTATGCATGCATCGAATGAGCAGTAAAATTTGAGTCGACTCAAAAGCCATGCCACACAAGAAGATTGATGCATGCTGCGGATAAAGGAATCGAATCGGTACCTCATATCACTCAGTCCGGCCTTGAAGCGAGTAGCTTGGGAGGAGGGCTGAGCACCGTACGCATCCCCGCTTCTCACTGCTGCTGCTGCCGCCGCTGCTGCTGCGGTTGCGGCTGCCATGGTAGCAGGTGGTCGCACAGGAGGGGACTTGAATGCGCCCCATTTCACAGGCATCAGGCTGCTGCTGCCAGAGCCTGTGCCATTGCCATTGCCAACATTCTCACCCTTGCCATTGCCAACATTCTCACCCTTGCCATTGCCAACATTCTCACCCTTGCCCACTCTCTCCTGCCACCCCTTATCGCCTCCTCCCGGCTGACCAGATTCGTCTGCTTCTGCTGCTTCTGCAACAGCAACAGCAGCAGCAGCAGCACTATCAGCCGGAGAGACAGGAGCATCACCAGCAGCAACAGCCCCACCCAAACCTAAACCGCCGGGACTGGCCATAGCTGCACTAGGGGAGTAGCCAAACAGGTCAGAGGAGTCGAGCCGGGCAAACTGAAGCAGCGGATTGTCGGAGAAGCTGCGGGACAGGCCCGGGGTTCCCGGACCTGCAGTCCCCGAGCCAGGAGTCGCTGGACCTGAGAGGTACACACTGAGGCCTGGAGACTGGTTGAGCCCATTCGCCCCCCACCCGGCTCTCCCTATGCCTGTGGGGGAGGTAGCACCAGAAGCAGCTGCTGCAGCAGCGGCGACGGCAGCAGCAGAGGCAGCCGCAGCAGCAGCTGCAGCGGAGGCAGCAGCGTCAGTGCTGGGCTGATTGGGGAGACCTGCTACTCCAGCAGCATAAGCCCCAGTTGAACCTGCCCCAGCCCCAGTTGAACTTGCCACAGCCACACTGGTGTCGCTGAGAGGAAGGACTGACGGGGTAGCCCAGGAGGGGAGGGCGGGAGGGGAAAGAGCACGTTTCGCAGAAACAGAAATCGCCCCCACTGCGGGATGAATAGCTGCTGCTGCTGCTGCTGCTGCCTCTGCTACCCCACCTGCTTCTCCTCCTGCCTCTCCTGCCCCAGCTACCCCTGCTGCCCCTGCTGCCTCTGTTGCTCCAGCTGCGGCCACCGCCTCTGCTGCCCCTGCAGTACCACGAGCACCGGTTCCGCCACTAGAATCCATTGCTGCACTTGCCGCTACAGCTGCATCTATTGCGTCTACGGCTGTAGCAGCAGCGTCTGCAGGTATAGATGCGCCTATCGCATCTACGGCTGTAGCTGTGTCTGTGTCCATAGCTGAAGCAGTGTCGATAGCGTCTCCGGCTGTAGCAGTGCCTGTAGCGCCTTCATGCGCCATCGGCGCCTGCAGCCCAAGGCTCAACCCTGCACCCTCATTCGAAACCCCACCGTGAATATCAAGGTTGCCACACAAGGCAGGGTTACCATAAATAGCCTTTGCTGCATGGGCGTGTGCTGCTGCATGGTATGCATGAGGAGGAGCAGGGGCCACAGGTATAGGAACAGGTGCAGCAGCGCTGGGGGGGGGGCGGGGGCGGGGGCGGGGGCGGGGGCGGGGGTGGGGGTGGAGGCAGGAGCGGGTGCGAGGACAGGGGGAGGGGTTTTAGCCCGGGCAGCAGTGGCAGGGGTGGCAGGGGTGGTGGGGGTTGTGTGGGTGGCGGAAGAGAGGGCAGCGAGGTCACCAAAGAGCTCTGCAGAATCCATTCTAGAGAACTCCAGAAACACGTCTCCCGACACACGCACCCCGCCCGGCAGAATCTGAATCACTGGCGGCTTCTTCCCTCCCTCCCCACCGCCTCCGCCGCCCTTGCCACCACCACTCCCCACTCCTCTCCCTCCCTCTTCTCCCTCCCCTGCTCCCCCTCCCCCTCCTCCCACTCGCTCCACACCCTTGCCTCCTCCATCCCCCTGTTCCCCATCCCCAACTCCCGCCTTATCTGCCTCTCCTGCAGCTGTCCCCTTGGCCTGCCCGCCAGCCAGACCATGGATGGTCACAGAGCCACCTGCACCAGATGCACCCTCCCCCAGCTTCACCTGCACCTCCCCGTTGACGCCGTACTGCTTGCCCCACGCGGCAATGGCGGCTGCCAGGGCGCGGATAGAGATGGAGTGATGGGCGACGCTGTCCTTGCTGTCGCTGTCCTTGCTGTCGCTGCCGTGCGTGTGCGTGTTGGCGTTGGCGTTGGTTTTGGTGTTGGTGTTGGCGTTGGTGTTGGTGTTGGTGTTGGCGGTGCTCGTGTTTCTTGTGTGCGTGTGCGTATCGGTGTTTGCGTTGGTGGTGCTCCTTGTGTGAGACTGCGTGTGAGTCTGCGTGTGCGTGTGCGTGTGCGTGTGCAAGTGCATGTGGGTGTTTCCTGTGCTGCTGGTGACGTTGCCGTTGTTGTTGTTGTTGGTGTGGGCGTGGGTGAGGGTGTGGGCGTGGGTGAGGGTGAGGGTGTGAGGGTTGCTCACTCTCCGGGTGCTGGTGGTATCAACGGTGCTGCCCGGGTTGATAGAAGATGCGCCTGCACCAGTCCCACCTGCACCAGTCCCGCCTGCACCAGTCCCGCCTGCACCAGTCCCGCCTCCCCCTGTCAGTCTGTCCGCTTGCCCTGACTGCTGCAGCAGCACCTGTGCTTGACGCTGCTGCTGTTGCTGTTGTTGCTGTTGCTGCTGCTGCTGCTGTTGACCCTGTGGCGGCGGCGGCGGCGGTGGCGGCGGCGGCTGTTGCTGTTGCTGTTGCTGTTGCTGCTGCTGACCATGTGGTATCTGGGCAGCAGAAAAGAGTGCGCGCAGCAGCAAGAGCTCAACATCATTCAGCGACTTCTTATTTCCAGCACCTGACGCTGCCACCCCACCACCGGAAGCAGCCACTCCACCACACGTACCAGCTCCACCATTTGAACCGCCAGCCGCACCACTTGAACCAGCAGCAGACGCACCAAAAGCAATCCCTGTCCCAACGTTTGGAACACCTGGGGCGACACTAGCAGGAGCACCAGCAGCACCGGCAACACCAGCACCGTTCAGAACCGCACTGGACGGACCAGGACCGGCGGCGATGCCTGCACCAGATACACCTGCACCGGTTGCGCCCCCCCTGTGCCCTGCTTCCAGCCGCTGCATCTCCTGCTGCACCTGCGCCTGCTGCTGCGCCGTCAGCCCCCCTGAGAGCACCCCTTGCGCCCACTGGGGGGGCGGGGGGGAGGAAATAGACCCGGAAGAGGGAAACACGGGGAAGAGCGGGTTTGTCGCTACCTGCTGCTGTTGCTGCTGCTGCTGCTGCTGCTGCTGCTGCTGCTGCTGCTGCTGCTGCTGCTGCTGCTGCTGCTGCTTCTGCTGCTGCTGCTGCTGCTGCTGCTGCTGCTGCTGCCGCTGCCCCAGATACTGCCCAAGCCCACCGCCTGCCCCACCAGCAGCTGCACCAGCTATATTCACCCCAGCTGGCCCTACCCCAGTTGAACCTGCACCACCTGCACTCCCTGCAGCAGCTGCAGCCGCTGCGACGGCGAATTCAACAGCCTGGGCCGACACTCCACTAGATTGCTGAGTCAGGAGGTTCTGGGGAAGGTTGTTCTGGGGAAGGTTGTTCTGAGGAAGGTTGTTCTGGGGAAGGTTGTTCTGGGGAAGGTTGTTCTGGGGAAGCTGGGGAAGGGCTGTCTGGGAAAGGTTGCTCTGAGGGAGGGGGTTCTGCGGCGAGGGTTTTTGAATGGATGGGGAGCGCGGAAGCGGGACGGGGAAGCCGCTAGAGGCGGAGTCATGCACGCTGCTGCTCACGGACGAGGCGCGGGGGAAGAGCGGAAGCACGGAGGGGCGGCGGAAATTGCTGGAAGAGGGGAGGTTGATGTTGGGGAAAGGTAGCGCATTGCTGGCGGGAGCTGCTGCTGCTGCTGCTGATGCTGGTGCTGGTGCTGGGGAAAGGGGGCGCATTGCTTGTGCGACGATTGGGGTGAGGATGGAAGGAGGAGGTGAGGGGGTCAAAGCGTTTACGAACGGTTTGCTTTGACCTATAGCCGCAGCAACAGGACTTCTAATGGGAGCGGTGCCACCTGCTGCGTTAGAAGCAGTTGCGTTTGCAAGAGCAGCGTTGGGCGCAGCGGCGGCGGCAAGGGCGAGAGAGAGGGCAACGGCAGTTTCAGCGTCAGGAGGGGGGGTGGATGCTCGGGCGGCGGAGGCCGCGGAGAGAAACCGGGCTGCCGCTGATACGAGGGCATCACCAGGGCTCAACGCCGTAGTCAACGATCCCTGCTGCTGCGACTGCGCCTGCGACTGCGCCTGCGACTGTCCCTGCAGCTGCCCTTGCGACTGCCCCTGCGGCTGCCCCTGCGACTGCCCCTGCAGCTGCCCCTGCGAGTGCTGCTGCATCAGCTGCTGCAGCTGCCCTTTCCGAACCTGCAGCTGCTCCTGCTCGTGTTGAAGCGCCTCGTACTGCTGCTGCAGCTGCTGCTGCTGCTGTTGCGACTCGAAACTCGACAGCAGCGCGGCAACAGGGCCGTTAAGAATAACCGACGCCACGTTACCCACGGAACTCGAAGACGGGAACGGGCTAGGGGAGGAGATAATACTAGCGGAGCCCTGGCGCGTAGGCGGCTGTATCAGGGGCAAGGCTAGCGCCGACCCCGCGGACCCGGACACGGAAAGAGCGGCGGCGACGGCGGAGGGGGGGAGGGGAGGCGCAGGGGGGAATTTTTGTAGCGAGCCTGCTTTGCGCGGGGGAGGTAGCGACCGAAGGACATCGTCTAGGGTTTTCCTCGAGGTTGCCGGGTCCGCTACAATGGAGCACGGAATGGGCGGCAGACTGCTGTTCCCTGACGCTTGCGAGCCCTTAACCGCGCCGCCGCCTTTTCCCCCGGGGGGTGAGTCCGGCGCGGTGAAGTTGGTTCGGGTGGAGGCTCCCCGAATCTGCCGCGCAGCCTCGTCGTAGGCTCGGGCTGCTTCTTCTGCCGTGTCGAACGTTCCGAGCCACTTGCGGATCTTGTGGTTCGTGTCTTTAATCTCCGCGATCCAACGGCCAGAAGCCCTCTGCCTGACTCCCAGGTATCCTCTGTTCTTCCCCTTACTATCCTTGGGCTGCGGCGCCGAGGCGTTCTTTTCAGGGGTCTTTCCACGTGCCTTTTCAGGTGGTTTTTCAGGCGCGCTGTCTGCTTGATTTCCTCCCTTCTGCGTTTTCGACACGTCATTTCCAGGTGCGTCGTCAGGTGCTTCGTCAGGTTCTTCATCAGAGGAACCATCTGAGTACTCCTCTTCCGTTTCCGGGGTCTTCGCTCGCCGCTTATCCTGCGAAGTTGTCGGCGAGTTGTTCGCCGATGCTGTGTTACCCGACGTGGCTTTGGCCGACGCCGCTTTAGCATCGCGCTGCGAAACGCCGGAAGCATCAACGACTTCGCATTTCCTGCGCTTCGACGGGTTCATCCTCTCCCGTTCGCCGTCGTTATCCGCTGTGGCGTTCGAGCAGTCGCCATCGCGGGGCATTTCGCCCTGCACGCCGCCGTAAGCCGACGAAACCCTGAAAGGTCGCAAGCGTCTAACTTCGGAACCACGTATGGGCTAAACCATCGTTATCCTTTCAAACGCCATAGCACTTAGCCCATTGGCGATGCAAGAACGGATAAACATAGCAAGCTGGCTGCATAGCCATCACATCATTGGCCTGCTGCTTGACCTTGGGAAAATGCAACCTTTGTAAACAACCAATCACAAGGTGCCGAAGGTCACGTTCCAGCAGCCACAGCCACAGAACCATCAAAACGAAACGGACAGCAGCAACCCTAGAAAATGACGCACACACACACTCTTCACTGGGCTTGTCCGGGCAGTCCAATTGAGGTTTGGTCTGGTCTGGTTTGGTTGGTTAGGTGTTCAGCTGGTTGTGGGGTGGTGATGAAGCGCAGAGAACCTCATAAAAGTACAGCTGGCGAAAAGGCGAAGGTAGGAGCGAATCTCCTGGCGACGGATTTGACCACGCAGCGGGGGGCGTGGCGTGGCGATGGCTTGCGAGGAACAGCTGGTCAAAAGGTCGCACAGCAGCCAGGTTTGAGGGGGGTGGCAGGCAAGCGGATCTCAAGTTCGATTAGGGCGTGTAAGATCCCCGTGCACACAGAATCGGCCATCAAAATTAGGTGGCCGTAGCGAAAGTAACCATTTCGTGATCGGTTTGCGAATCTCGTCAATTTCAACCATCAAATTTGTGATTTGATGGCCGGAAAACTAGTCGACTCTTTTCCGACGCGTGGTCGACTTCAAATCGGCCATGCTGTCGACAGCAGCTGTCTACAGTGAGAAACGAAGTCGCATACGCTGCTACAGTGAAATTGCGACATCGTATTCATGTGTGCGACATCGTCGCACCAAGTCGTAAAAAAGGACAAACCGAAATCTTCCACCTCTGTTACAGCGGCCAGCAAAACCGTGTCAGATTTGGAGGCCACACTGAGTTGGCCGAAAATTTGTCGACCTGGTGACGACTAATCTGTCGACCTTCGCGAAAGCTTTGTCGACCAAAATGGTCGACAAAATTCAGCCAAAACGTGTGCACGGGGATCTTACACACCCTTAGGTTGAGCGATGAGCCATAAAATTGCGAGTTTTCGTTCAACTGACTACATTGCAATAGTACCTGGTCTTATGAGTAAGTTATGATGGACAAACTACTCTACTTTTAATTAACTTTATATTTTGCCAGCATCGCCAGCATCAGCGGCATCACAAGCATCATCGGTGTTTGGTGATCTTCTCAACCAGTAGGTCGTATTTTGCTCCTTGCACCTCATCAATCTGCGCCAGGTTGCGAAAGAGCTTAAACGTCGGCACCGACCGCACCCCAAGGCCCTTTGCCAGAGGCTGCTCACTCAAGACAAGCGGACAAAAACATGGCATGTGAGCAAAATAACACCCTAGGCCGTCTGAACCACGATTGAAGGGTCAGAAACATGAAAAGTGTCTGTAAGCAGGGTCCTGTACTTTGGTGAACTTTGTAGGGCAAATTAATGTGCATAACAGGTGGATGCAGGTGCTTGTACAGATAGTGGCGGCTCTGCGTTAACTTGGCAAAATAGCCGGGAGTGTGACTGTGTCTTTCTTGCATACAAGGCCAGAATCACATTGCGCATAACCTGCTGGTGTAAAACTCAATCCTTCGCTCCTCGTCCTTCTCATTAATTAATACCAGGACAGTTTCATCCCTTCCATCCGCATACTAACAAGCACCACTTTTTGCACCCTTCAGTAGAGGGACATCCCCAATGCTCACCTTCTGGTTCTGGTTGCAAGTCCAGCTTCGTGAACTGTATCCCTAGTTTCAGTCACAGTCACACGGCTCACCTTGTTAGTCTGGTTGCAGTCCAGCTTCAGGAACACCACGTCCTGCATCTCCTCTGCCAACGCCTCCACCTTGGGCGCCAGCAGCTTGCACGGGCCACACCTGCCGTGCAGCCATTGGAATGGGTAGAGCATTGGGTTGTTGGCCCGTTATAAAAGCTGCCGTTGTGCTGTGCTTGGACAGCGTTCAGGTGAGACCAACGGCGCGTTGCGGTTGGATGGCTTTGAGCGGGGAAAACACTTAAAGTTTTTGTCGGCCTTTTGGAGATGGTAAACTAGGGTTGATAAAAACGCACCACTGGGTGTACATATCGAGCACGACGAGCTTGTCAGCGGCCGCGGCTTTCTCAAGCTCGGGGTAAAACGAGTCCTTGTCCACCTCCATCATCGGCGACGTCGCCTGCGGTGCCTCCGCCGTCTGCGCCGCTGCCGCTGCTGCGTCCCCCGCATCCGCCCGCACTCTGCTGGCCTTGTTCACAGCCGCTGGAGCGTAACACGGGAAGCAGACAAGACAGACGACGGGAAGCGGCGATATTGACCGATTGTATCATCGATATCACTGTGCATCGTGATGTACTGGCGACGACGAACTCACATTGGGTGTACGAATGATTCTCACGTCGGGCATTCAACTGACCATTTTGACGTTGCCGGAAAACAGCGGCGTTTGATTTCAAGCTTCTTGTGCTGCTTGGGGACAGGGACGAAGCAACCGTGTTCGAATTTGAACCCCTCGAGGAGCGCTGCACCAATGCTCCAGTTGAAGCGGAGACAGGAGCCGCAGCCACAGCTATCAGTGCCATATCTGCCGGAACTACTAAGACCTGTCGTACCGCGACGAGGTAAAATGGATGGATAGCCGACGCAACGACTGGGATGAGAGCACGGCACAGATACTGAGACACTAAATTTCACTGATAAAAAATACTGCTGAAATTCAGTGGACTGAGGCAAGCAATGGTAGGAATGGGGAAGGAGGAATTATGCAGATTCTGCCACACCACCAACCAACAGCTGGAGCAGAAAGGATCAGGCAAGCACCTGCTGCAGAAGGCAAACAATTTGGTGGTTTGTTTGGGCATAGTTCTATGCTGATTGGATGGAGGGAGATTGTCTGGCAGCCAGAGTGTGCCAGCAAAGCCACCACTCTGGCACAGCCTCGAGATTTACCCAGGCACTGACGTGGAGTGTCGTCGGATGTTTCGTTCCGTAACGTGCCAGCCACAAGTCAGGCTGAAGGATGGCAAATCGCAGCTTACGTGTACGACGGATCGACGGGGGCAGAAGGTTTCGAATCTCCAAGGCCAATGGAGACCTATCAGTGGATGCTTACAGTACTTGGTGCGTTAGAAGATATCGTTCAGCGCTGCTGTGATAGCCCTGAAATGAAGCTGGTGTGTTAGTGTTTTGTAATTAAATAAAAAAGGTCGCTGAATATCGGAATTCTTTCAACCATGCAACAAGTTACATAACCGTTTTATATCGCGTGAAATGCATTCTAATGAGCCCTTGTTGGCACAAATCGCCCCTGGGTGACGACTTGGAAGCCATTTTGCTCAACCTCTTTCCTTCCATCATGCCACACAGCTCACCCCATAAAAATGGTCAGTCGCGACGCGAGTAGTTCATGCTCAGCAGCTAGCCCGTAGTTCTCGTCACGACCCACATTGCCCTCTCCCTGCATGCATGCTCATGGCAGCTGCAGAAGCCGCATCGTATCTCATTAGTCTCACCCTCTCCCCTGATCAAGGCAACCATTGCCTAGCCCGTTGCCCGCGCCTCGCGGAGCCGAGTACCCTCCCCAACCAGCGGAGAGTCGTCGCATTTCTCTTAGACGAGCTACATTTCTCCGCCAAGGCCCTTCCGCCGCTCATCCGCCGCTGCCCGCAGCTCCTCGCGTACAGCGTCCCCGAGAAGCTCCGCCCAGCCGCGGAGTGCCTCCGCGGGCTGGGGTTCTCCGCGCGGGACCTCCGCCGCGCGATCGCGCATTTCCCCGGGATCCTCGCGCGCAGCATTGAGGAGAAGCTCTGCCCGCTGCTTGCGCTCCTGCAGCACCTCGATATCGCCGAGGAGAAATGCCGACGCGTGATTCTCGCCTGTCCGCGGCTCGTCAGCTACAGCATTGACCTCAAAATGCGCCCGCTCGTTCTCTTCTTCCAATCCAACCTGCCCTTTTCGCCGTCGCAAGTCGGACGTATGGTTACCCGATGCCCGCAAATCCTTGGATGCAATCTTGAGAAACAAATAATTCCCGCGATTCGGCATCTGCGTGGTATAGGTATCGTAGAGGATAAACTACACAATCTCCTTCTACACCACCCCTACATCCTTTGTCGAAGCGTCGGGAAAACCCTCGAGCCGCGGACCGACTTTCTCCTTTCCCTAGGGTTCACACGAGCTGAGGTGGCAAGGATCATCGCGGAGTTTCCTCCAATCCTGACGAAACACGTGGACAACGATTTGCGCCCAAAAGTGGCGTACCTGGAAGGACCTGTGGGAAGAAGCGTGAGAGAGGTTCTGGGGTTTCCGCGGTTTTTCTCGTTTAGCCTGGTGCGGAGAATCATCCCCAACCACAGGAAATTGCAGAGCAGAGGGCGTCAGGGTTGGACACTCACAGAGTTGTGCAAGAAGGTGGTGGTGTGATCAGAGTTCTGAGACGTCTCACAAGGAAACTGCAGAGCAGAGGGCGTGAGGATTGGACACTCAGAGTTGTGCAATAAGGTTGTGGTGTGATCAGGGTTCTGGGTCTTAGGATGTTAGTTTCCACCAGCAGTTTCTCAAGCATCCTGTAAATGACGAGATGGAGAAGCTTCTATGTGGTTGAATAGCAATAGCAGAAGCTTGTGAACCCAGTACTGGTCCTTCCTAAATGGACTGACAGCTGAGACACTACCTAAACCGGATTTTAGGTATCAGCTTTAGGATGCTACCCTTCAGCTGTGGATAATGTTGAACTTATTTGTGTATATTCCGTGCCATTATTACCCCTCCCATATAAGACCTCTCAAAATCACTACTTCTAGCTCATAGTGCATGAAGTGTTGACAAAAGAAGAAAATCACAGCCGCAGCTGCAGTACCTGCTCACACACAGGAATCACTGCTTGCTTCGGTGCATATACACAGCCACACCCACACTCACAGCTGCCACCGCTGTTACCGCCAGCATTGAAACTGTGTACGCCCACATTGCGTTGTCCCAACTCGATGCCGCCGCACCTTCTTCCGAACCTGCACCAAAGGCTCGGGACCGAGCCGGAGAGGCAGCCCCGGCGGTTTTCCGCGGGGTGGAAGGGCGAGGTGGGGCGGAAAGGTTGGTGCGACGAGAGCCGTTGATTGACGATGGTGTACGCTGGTGATGTGACGTGCGGAGCGATCCGCGTTGCGACCCATGTTGCGACCCGTGTTGCGACCCGTGTTGCGAGCCGTGCATGGAATGGGAGTCTGGGTCCTCGTCATCGTGAAATTCAAGATGGAGCTTCAAACCCTGGGGGAAAGAAAGGAGGGAAGTGGAAAGGGAGGTGGGAGCGAAGGAGGACAGGAGAGTTGTGAGCAGCAGTATGGGCTGCATGGAATGGGAGTCTGGTTCCTCACCTTCGTGAAATTCAAGATGAAGCTTCAAACCCTGGGGGAGACACAGGATGGCAAAGCACACCAATAAAGCACCAACATAAGCAGGAGATTATAATCAAGAGCAGCACAAGGGCAGCAGCACAGGAGTAGGTACGGACAGAGTTCACGGCACCTTGATGCCGGTGGCCTTGGCGAACTTGACAGCCGCATGCAGATACTCATCCGTGGATGTGACCACCATGGGGGGTGTGTGTGTGCATTTGAACAAGAGGAAAGAGCAGCATCAAGAGCAGCAGCCAAAGAGAGGGAAAGGCCAGATGCCGGTGGGTTGCTCTTACAGAACGTTGATGCGTGTGAATGAGAGAGGTCAGGGGTCACGGTACCTTGATGCCGGTGGCCTTGGCGAACTTGACAGCGGCATGCAGATCCTCATCCGTGGATATGACCACCATGTCATTGTCCTCGTCCGCGTACTGGATGAAAAGGGGAGGGGGTGAATGGGCGTGATGACCACAAGATGATCACAAGAGGAAACAGGTGCATGTAAGATGGACGACCCTCATCCGTGGATATGACCACCATGTCATTGTCCTCGTCCGCGTACTGATGCATGGGGGATTGGGAAGGAGTGCATGTGGTTGACAGGGGTGAGTATATGGGAGACTGGTGCATATAGGATGGAGGATCCTCATCGGTGGATATGACCACCAGGTCATTGTCCTCGTCAGCGTACTGCCCGTTCGGGGGATTGGGGAGGAATGCATGCGGTTGACAGGGGTGAGTGAATGGGAGACTGGTGCATATAGGATGGAGGAACCTCATCAGTGGATATGACCACCAGGTCATTGTCCTCGTCCGCGTACTGATGCATGGGAAAGGGAGAGAGGGGACGCATGCGGTTGATGGGGATGAGTACAGCAGGGTGTAGGGTGGAGGACGCTCATCGGTGGATATATATGATTTTTGAGTCGACTCAAAAATCGACTAAACATGTAGGGTGGAGGACCCTCATCGGTGGATATATATGACCACCAGGTCATTGTGTCGTTCGCATCGCATACTGGCGGACAGGAAGAGGGAAGGACGGGGATGGGGAAAATGCGGGTGAATGGAAAGGGAGAACGCTGCTTTTGTGAAGGAGGATTCAAGCCAGCGCAGCGCAGTTGACCACCATGCCATTACCCTCAACTGCATACTGGCGCACAGGAAAGGGGAGGGGGATGAGTAAGATGGGACAGACCAAGGGTTGCTGGTCAGACAGTCCTACAGCCGGAGGTGACCAGGGGTGACCAAGGTTGACCAGGGGTGACCAAGGTTGACCAGGGGTGACCAGAATTGGGAGACCAGGGGTGGGTTGTCGGGGTCGTAATCCCCCCCCCCAGCCTAGAGCAATGAGACTCACCAGAATGGAGGGCGGGTTGTCGGGGTCGTAATCCCCCCCCAGTCTCGACGCCACGGCACACACCAGCTCCGTCATGCTCTCACTGCCCGCTGTGAACGGCCCCTTCCAGTCTGGAGCTTTTTGGACCCAAAAGAAACAAGACTCACCAGAATGGAGGGCGGATTGTCAGGGTCGTAGTCCCCGCCCAGCCTGGACGCCACGGCACACACCAGCTCCGTCATGCTCTCACTGCCCGCTGTGAACCGGTGCACGCGCCCCCTCCTGTCCTCCAGCTTGAACGAAAACAAGTCCTCCCCCAACCCCCCCACCATCGCTCCCCCGGCTCCTGTTCCCGCCCCTGCGCCAACTGCACCACCAGCAGGAACACCTGCTCCACCTGCTGCTTGTGTGCCGCCTCCGCCTCGCCTCCTGCTTCCTGAGGGGCGCACTTGATCCGACATGTCACTGCTGCGCACACTGTGGAGGTGGGGGAAAGAGGGGCGCAAGGAATAGGGGAGACAAGGAATAGGGGAGACAAGGACTTGCAGGGGAGACAAGGACTTGCAGGGGAGACAAGGACTTGCAGGGGAGACAAGGACTTGTAGGGGAGACAAGGACTTGCAGGGGAGACAAGGAGTAGGGGAGACAAGGAGTAGGGGAGACAAGGACTTGTAGGGGAGACAAGGACTTGTAGGGGAGACAAGGACTTGTAGGGGAGACAAGGACTTGTAGGGGAGACAAGGACTTGCAGGGATGCACGAGACAGGAGTGCAAGACGACGGTTTAGGCATAGAATCCAGAAAGGAACGAAGCAATCTCATTTCCCCGCAGTTTCAACTGCCGCAAGTCCTACCTCCCCCAAACCCCACCTCCCCCAAGTCTCACCTCCCTCAAATCCAACCTGCCCCAATTCTCACCTGGCAGTGTCTTCCTCGGTGTCAGCGGGAGGCAGTGCGAGGGCTGAGTCCCAGAAGCGCTGCATCAGCTGCCCCATGGCGTCCCCGCTCTCAGATCCCGATGCTGCCTGCGAGGCAAGGAGCATTGGGCATGGGGCACAAAGCATGGGGCAAGGGGCAGGGCGGGCAAAGGACGTCAGTGCAAGGGCTGAGTCCCAGAAGCGCTGCATCAACTGCCCCATGGCGTCCCCAATCTCTGAACCCGACGCTGCCTGCAAGGTTCGGCAAACAAGAATGGGAAGCAGGCATGGGAAGTGGTATGGTAAAAGAGGCATGGCAAGGGGAGAGAGTGGGGTATGGGGCATGGTGCATGGGGGAAAGGAAGCCACTATTAAAGGGAGTGTTATGGGAAAGGAAGCCACTATTAAAGGGAGTGTTATGGGAAAGGGAAGCCACAAGCAAGGCATGAGGATAAGAGCAAGCGAATCTTACCGCAGCAGAGGACATGGCGCCCTGAGTGAGTTGCAGCACGTCCACACATGCCACACAGTTGCCGTCTGCTCCCATGCCATCCACGCCACCGCTCCACATGCCACCAAACCAAATGCCACCGCACCAAATGCCAATGCACCGCATGCATGGAAACGCAGCAAGGAGGGGAAAGAGTGCGCAGCTGAAGCAGTGACAGTGGAAATGGGAAGTGGAAACGGGAAGTGGAAATGGGAAGTGGAAATGGGAAGTGGAAATGGGAAGTGGAAATGGGGCAGAGGAGTGGCATGGTGGGATTGTGGAGAACGATGGGGGTCGGGGATGTGCGAATGGAAACTCTAATTTTCACATAATCCACACAAGACCCCCACAAGACCCCAACGACCTGAGTCAACAACAGGGAGGTGCAGGAAGCGGCCGTCGTGCATGGTGTAAAGGGAGTCAACCACAGGCGTGCCCACATCGTGCCCCTCAGAGATAGCTAGTGGTGGTGCTCTCTCAGTCTCGTTTTGAATCGACTCAAAACTTTTGAGTCGACTCAAAGCTTTTGAGTCGACTCAAAAATAGCTAGTGGTGGTGCTCTCTCAGTCTCGTTTTGAGTCGACTCAAAAATAGGTAGTGGTGGTGCTCTCTCAGTCTCGTTTTGAGTCGACTCAAAAATAGGTAGTGGTGGTGCTCTCTGTGTCTCGTTTTGAGTCGACTCAAAAATAGCTAGTGGTGGTGCTCTCTCAGTCTCGTTTTGAGTCGACTCAAAGCTTTTGAGTCGACTCAAAAATAGCTAGTGGTGGTGCTCTCTCAGTCTCGTTTTGAGTCGACTCAAAGCTTTTGAGTCGACTCAAAAATAGCTAGTGGTGGTGCTCTCTCAGTCTCGTTTTGAGTCGACTCAAAACTTTTGAGTCGACTCAAAGCTTTTGAGTCGACTCAAAAATAGCTAGTGGTGGTGCTCTCTCAGTCTCGTTTTGAGTCGACTCAAAACTTTTGAGTCGACTCAAAAATAGCTAGTGGTGGTGCTCTCTCAGTCTCGTTTTGAGTCGACTCAAAACTTTTGAGTCGACTCAAAAATAGCTAGTGGTGGTGCTCTCTCAGTCTCGTTTTGAGTCGACTCAAAAATAGCTAGTGGTGGTGCTCTCTCAGTCTCGTTTTGAGTCGACTCAAAAATAGCTAGTGGTGGTGCTCTCTCAGTCTCGTTTTGAGTCGACTCAAAACTTTTGAGTCGACTCAAAAATAGCTAGTGGTGGTGCTCTCTCAGTCTCGTTTTGAGTCGACTCAAAACTTTTGAGTCGACTCAAAAATAGCTAGTGGTGGTGCTCTCTCAGTCTCGTTTTGAGTCGACTCAAAACTTTTGAGTCGACTCAAAAATAGCTAGTGGTGGTGCTCTCTCAGTCTCGTTTTGAGTCGACTCAAAACTTTTGAGTCGACTCAAAAATAGCTAGTGGTGGTGCTCTCTCAGTCTCGTTTTGAGTCGACTCAAAAATAGCTAGTGGTGGTGCTCTCTCAGTCTCGTTTTGAGTCGACTCAAAAATAGCTAGTGGTGGTGCTCTCTCAGTCTCGTTTTGAGTCGACTCAAAACTTTTGAGTCGACTCAAAAATAGCTAGTGGTGGTGCTCTCTCAGTCTCGTTTTGAGTCGACTCAAAACTTTTGAGTCGACTCAAAAATAGCTAGTGGTGGTGCTCTCTCAGTCTCGTTTTGAGTCGACTCAAAACTTTTGAGTCAACTCAAAAATAGCTAGTGGTGGTGCTCTCTCAGTCTCGTTTTGAGTCGACTCAAAACTTTTGAGTCAACTCAAAAATAGCTAGTGGTGGTGCTCTCTCAGTCTCGTTTTGAGTCGACTCAAAACTTTTGAGTCGACTCAAAAATAGCTAGTGGTGGTGCTCTCTCAGTCTCGTTTTGAGTCGACTCAAAACTTTTGAGTCGACTCAAAAATAGCTAGTGGTGGTGCTCTCTCAGTCTCGTTTTGAGTCGACTCAAAGCTTTTGAGTCGACTCAAAAATAGCTAGTGGTGGTGCTCTCTCAGTCTCGTTTTGAGTCGACTCAAAACTTTTGAGTCGACTCAAAGCTTTTGAGTCGACTCAAAAATAGCTAGTGGTGGTGCTCTCTCAGTCTCGTTTTGAGTCGACTCAAAGCTTTTGAGTCGACTCAAAAATAGCTAGTGGTGGTGCTCTCTCAGTCTCGTTTTGAGTCGACTCAAAGCTTTTGAGTCGACTCAAAAATAGCTAGTGGTGGTGCTCTCTCAGTCTCGTTTTGAGTCGACTCAAAACTTTTGAGTCGACTCAAAGCTTTTGAGTCGACTCAAAAATAGCTAGTGGTGGTGCTCTCTCAGTCTCGTTTTGAGTCGACTCAAAAATAGGTAGTGGTGGTGCTCTCTCAGTCTCGTTTTGAGTCGACTCAAAAATAGGTAGTGGTGGTGCTCTCTGTGTCTCGTTTTGAGTCGACACAAAAATAGCTAGTGGTGGTGCTCTCTCAGTCTCGTTTTGAGTCGACTCAAAGCTTTTGAGTCGACTCAAAAATAGCTAGTGGTGGTGCTCTCTCAGTCTCGTTTTGAGTCGACTCAAAGCTTTTGAGTCGACTCAAAAATAGCTAGTGGTGGTGCTCTCTCAGTCTCGTTTTGAGTCGACTCAAAACTTTTGAGTCGACTCAAAGCTTTTGAGTCGACTCAAAAATAGCTAGTGGTGGTGCTCTCTCAGTCTCGTTTTGAGTCGACTCAAAACTTTTGAGTCGACTCAAAAATAGCTAGTGGTGGTGCTCTCTCAGTCTCGTTTTGAGTCGACTCAAAACTTTTGAGTCGACTCAAAAATAGCTAGTGGTGGTGCTCTCTCAGTCTCGTTTTGAGTCGACTCAAAAATAGCTAGTGGTGGTGCTCTCTCAGTCTCGTTTTGAGTCGACTCAAAAATAGCTAGTGGTGGTGCTCTCTCAGTCTCGTTTTGAGTCGACTCAAAACTTTTGAGTCGACTCAAAAATAGCTAGTGGTGGTGCTCTCTCAGTCTCGTTTTGAGTCGACTCAAAACTTTTGAGTCGACTCAAAAATAGCTAGTGGTGGTGCTCTCTCAGTCTCGTTTTGAGTCGACTCAAAACTTTTGAGTCGACTCAAAAATAGCTAGTGGTGGTGCTCTCTCAGTCTCGTTTTGAGTCGACTCAAAACTTTTGAGTCGACTCAAAAATAGCTAGTGGTGGTGCTCTCTCAGTCTCGTTTTGAGTCGACTCAAAAATAGCTAGTGGTGGTGCTCTCTCAGTCTCGTTTTGAGTCGACTCAAAAATAGCTAGTGGTGGTGCTCTCTCAGTCTCGTTTTGAGTCGACTCAAAACTTTTGAGTCGACTCAAAAATAGCTAGTGGTGGTGCTCTCTCAGTCTCGTTTTGAGTCGACTCAAAACTTTTGAGTCGACTCAAAAATAGCTAGTGGTGGTGCTCTCTCAGTCTCGTTTTGAGTCGACTCAAAACTTTTGAGTCAACTCAAAAATAGCTAGTGGTGGTGCTCTCTCAGTCTCGTTTTGAGTCGACTCAAAACTTTTGAGTCAACTCAAAAATAGCTAGTGGTGGTGCTCTCTCAGTCTCGTTTTGAGTCGACTCAAAACTTTTGAGTCGACTCAAAAATAGCTAGTGGTGGTGCTCTCTCAGTCTCGTTTTGAGTCGACTCAAAACTTTTGAGTCGACTCAAAAATAGCTAGTGGTGGTGCTCTCTCAGTCTCGTTTTGAGTCGACTCAAAGCTTTTGAGTCGACTCAAAAATAGCTAGTGGTGGTGCTCTCTCAGTCTCGTTTTGAGTCGACTCAAAACTTTTGAGTCGACTCAAAGCTTTTGAGTCGACTCAAAAATAGCTAGTGGTGGTGCTCTCTCAGTCTCGTTTTGAGTCGACTCAAAGCTTTTGAGTCGACTCAAAAATAGCTAGTGGTGGTGCTCTCTCAGTCTCGTTTTGAGTCGACTCAAAGCTTTTGAGTCGACTCAAAAATAGCTAGTGGTGGTGCTCTCTCAGTCTCGTTTTGAGTCGACTCAAAACTTTTGAGTCGACTCAAAGCTTTTGAGTCGACTCAAAAATAGCTAGTGGTGGTGCTCTCTCAGTCTCGTTTTGAGTCGACTCAAAACTTTTGAGTCGACTCAAAAATAGCTAGTGGTGGTGCTCTCTCAGTCTCGTTTTGAGTCGACTCAAAACTTTTGAGTCGACTCAAAAATAGCTAGTGGTGGTGCTCTCTCAGTCTCGTTTTGAGTCGACTCAAAAATAGCTAGTGGTGGTGCTCTCTCAGTCTCGTTTTGAGTCGACTCAAAAATAGCTAGTGGTGGTGCTCTCTCAGTCTCGTTTTGAGTCGACTCAAAACTTTTGAGTCGACTCAAAAATAGCTAGTGGTGGTGCTCTCTCAGTCTCGTTTTGAGTCGACTCAAAACTTTTGAGTCGACTCAAAAATAGCTAGTGGTGGTGCTCTCTCAGTCTCGTTTTGAGTCGACTCAAAACTTTTGAGTCGACTCAAAAATAGCTAGTGGTGGTGCTCTCTCAGTCTCGTTTTGAGTCGACTCAAAACTTTTGAGTCGACTCAAAAATAGCTAGTGGTGGTGCTCTCTCAGTCTCGTTTTGAGTCGACTCAAAAATAGCTAGTGGTGGTGCTCTCTCAGTCTCGTTTTGAGTCGACTCAAAAATAGCTAGTGGTGGTGCTCTCTCAGTCTCGTTTTGAGTCGACTCAAAACTTTTGAGTCGACTCAAAAATAGCTAGTGGTGGTGCTCTCTCAGTCTCGTTTTGAGTCGACTCAAAACTTTTGAGTCGACTCAAAAATAGCTAGTGGTGGTGCTCTCTCAGTCTCGTTTTGAGTCGACTCAAAACTTTTGAGTCGACTCAAAGCTTTTGAGTCGACTCAAAAATAGCTAGTGGTGGTGCTCTCTCAGTCTCGTTTTGAGTCGACTCAAAACTTTTGAGTCGACTCAAAAATAGCTAGTGGTGGTGCTCTCTCAGTCTCGTTTTGAGTCGACTCAAAACTTTTGAGTCGACTCAAAAATAGCTAGTGGTGGTGCTCTCTCAGTCTCGTTTTGAGTCGACTCAAAAATAGCTAGTGGTGGTGCTCTCTCAGTCTCGTTTTGAGTCGACTCAAAAATAGCTAGTGGTGGTGCTCTCTCAGTCTCGTTTTGAGTCGACTCAAAACTTTTGAGTCGACTCAAAAATAGCTAGTGGTGGTGCTCTCTCAGTCTCGTTTTGAGTCGACTCAAAACTTTTGAGTCGACTCAAAAATAGCTAGTGGTGGTGCTCTCTCAGTCTCGTTTTGAGTCGACTCAAAACTTTTGAGTCGACTCAAAAATAGCTAGTGGTGGTGCTCTCTCAGTCTCGTTTTGAGTCGACTCAAAACTTTTGAGTCGACTCAAAAATAGCTAGTGGTGGTGCTCTCTCAGTCTCGTTTTGAGTCGACTCAAAAATAGCTAGTGGTGGTGCTCTCTCAGTCTCGTTTTGAGTCGACTCAAAAATAGCTAGTGGTGGTGCTCTCTCAGTCTCGTTTTGAGTCGACTCAAAACTTTTGAGTCGACTCAAAAATAGCTAGTGGTGGTGCTCTCTCAGTCTCGTTTTGAGTCGACTCAAAACTTTTGAGTCGACTCAAAAATAGCTAGTGGTGGTGCTCTCTCAGTCTCGTTTTGAGTCGACTCAAAACTTTTGAGTCAACTCAAAAATAGCTAGTGGTGGTGCTCTCTCAGTCTCGTTTTGAGTCGACTCAAAACTTTTGAGTCAACTCAAAAATAGCTAGTGGTGGTGCTCTCTCAGTCTCGTTTTGAGTCGACTCAAAACTTTTGAGTCGACTCAAAAATAGCTAGTGGTGGTGCTCTCTCAGTCTCGTTTTGAGTCGACTCAAAACTTTTGAGTCGACTCAAAAATAGCTAGTGGTGGTGCTCTCTCAGTCTCGTTTTGAGTCGACTCAAAGCTTTTGAGTCGACTCAAAAATAGCTAGTGGTGGTGCTCTCTCAGTCTCGTTTTGAGTCGACTCAAAACTTTTGAGTCGACTCAAAGCTTTTGAGTCGACTCAAAAATAGCTAGTGGTGGTGCTCTCTCAGTCTCGTTTTGAGTCGACTCAAAGCTTTTGAGTCGACTCAAAAATAGCTAGTGGTGGTGCTCTCTCAGTCTCGTTTTGAGTCGACTCAAAGCTTTTGAGTCGACTCAAAAATAGCTAGTGGTGGTGCTCTCTCAGTCTCGTTTTGAGTCGACTCAAAACTTTTGAGTCGACTCAAAGCTTTTGAGTCGACTCAAAAATAGCTAGTGGTGGTGCTCTCTCAGTCTCGTTTTGAGTCGACTCAAAACTTTTGAGTCGACTCAAAAATAGCTAGTGGTGGTGCTCTCTCAGTCTCGTTTTGAGTCGACTCAAAACTTTTGAGTCGACTCAAAAATAGCTAGTGGTGGTGCTCTCTCAGTCTCGTTTTGAGTCGACTCAAAAATAGCTAGTGGTGGTGCTCTCTCAGTCTCGTTTTGAGTCGACTCAAAAATAGCTAGTGGTGGTGCTCTCTCAGTCTCGTTTTGAGTCGACTCAAAACTTTTGAGTCGACTCAAAAATAGCTAGTGGTGGTGCTCTCTCAGTCTCGTTTTGAGTCGACTCAAAACTTTTGAGTCGACTCAAAAATAGCTAGTGGTGGTGCTCTCTCAGTCTCGTTTTGAGTCGACTCAAAACTTTTGAGTCGACTCAAAAATAGCTAGTGGTGGTGCTCTCTCAGTCTCGTTTTGAGTCGACTCAAAAATAGCTAGTGGTGGTGCTCTCTCAGTCTCGTTTTGAGTCGACTCAAAAATAGCTAGTGGTGGTGCTCTCTCAGTCTCGTTTTGAGTCGACTCAAAACTTTTGAGTCGACTCAAAAATAGCTAGTGGTGGTGCTCTCTCAGTCTCGTTTTGAGTCGACTCAAAACTTTTGAGTCGACTCAAAAATAGCTAGTGGTGGTGCTCTCTCAGTCTCGTTTTGAGTCGACTCAAAACTTTTGAGTCAACTCAAAAATAGCTAGTGGTGGTGCTCTCTCAGTCTCGTTTTGAGTCGACTCAAAACTTTTGAGTCAACTCAAAAATAGCTAGTGGTGGTGCTCTCTCAGTCTCGTTTTGAGTCGACTCAAAACTTTTGAGTCGACTCAAAAATAGCTAGTGGTGGTGCTCTCTCAGTCTCGTTTTGAGTCGACTCAAAACTTTTGAGTCGACTCAAAAATAGCTAGTGGTGGTGCTCTCTCAGTCTCGTTTTGAGTCGACTCAAAACTTTTGAGTCAACTCAAAAATAGCTAGTGGTGGTGCTCTCTCAGTCTCGTTTTGAGTCGACTCAAAACTTTTGAGTCAACTCAAAAATAGCTAGTGGTGGTGCTCTCTCAGTCTCGTTTTGAGTCGACTCAAAACTTTTGAGTCGACTCAAAAATAGCTAGTGGTGGTGCTCTCTCAGTCTCGTTTTGAGTCGACTCAAAACTTTTGATTCGACTCAAAAATAGCTAGTGGTGGTGCTCTCTCAGTCTCGTTTTGAGTCGACTCAAAACTTTTGAGTCGACTCAAAAATAGCTAGTGGTGGTGCTCTCTCAGTCTCGTTTTGAGTCGACTCAAAACTTTTGATTCGACTCAGAAATAGCTAGTGGTGGTGCTCTCTCAGTCTCGTTTTGAGTCGACTCAAAACTTTTGAGTCGACTCAAAAATAGCTAGTGGTGGTGCTCTCTCAGTCTCGTTTTGAGTCGACTCAAAACTTTTGATTCGACTCAAATAGCTAGTGGTGGTGCCCTCTCTCCCACGGGCTCTCAGTCTCGCACTGGCCAGGCAGGTGTCTGAATACCTAAGCTCAAAAAAGGAGTAGATCAAACCTTGGTCAACAACAGGGAGGTGCAGGAAGCGGCCGTCATGCATGGTGTGAAGGGCGTCCACCACAGGCGTGCTCAGCAGCACACACTCTGGATTCGGCGTCATTACCTGCAGTGCAGTGCGGTGCAATGAGGTACAGAACCGTGCAGTGCGCAGTCACAAGGACATGGGAAAAGACGCTGCTGGGGATGGAGATGGACGATGAACACATGAACGGTTACATTACAACATCCGACACTTTATGGGATCCTTGAAAATGGAAAATATTTACAACTGAATGCCGTCGCTGCCTTTGAGCACCTAAAGCCCGTGAATATTTATGCAAGGACTGCTTGCTTGGGGACTGTTGGGGAAACCAAGAGTGCTTGCCTTGTCAACAAGGGTGGTGTCTGGGTGCAGGTTGAGTGCTAGCACCCGCGTGAGAATGTCCTTTGAGCTGAGGGGCGTGGTGGAGGGCGATATGTGCATGGGACGTGTGACAGTGAGAGGCGTGGAGGGAAGAAGGGGCATGGAAGGGACAGGCACGGGGCAGGGGCATGGGGCAGGGGCAAGGGGGGAAAGGCGAAGGCAACATCCACAGAGCGCTGCTAGCTCGTACAAGGCAACGCCTGTTCAAAACACTCGTGAGCGAGAAAATCTACACATTGGAATACAAAATACCACTATGATCAGCAACGCCCAGCCACGCCCAGCAAAGCCCAGCAACGCACGTGAGGATGCCGCAGGGGCGGTTGTTGGCGCCATTGGTGACAATCACTGAGCTCACTCGGCTCTCCCTCATCCTCCTCGCTGCCGTCCTCACCAGATCCGTCTTCAGTACCGTGGCTAGCCTGCTAGGCACAAGGGGCGCAGTGATTTGCATGTGACGCACAGTGAGTGAGTGACTGAGTGAGTGACTGAGTGAGTGACTGAGTGAGTGACTGAGTGAGTGAGAGAGTGAGTGAGTGAGGGGCAAAAGGGCTTTGCCAAGCACAAGCCACTCACCTGGGATCTTCCCCCAGCACACTCGCAAGTTGACCAGAACACCTTGTTCCAAGTTGACCCAAGAGTCACCTCGAGGGCATGGCAATCACAGGCGGGTGAGGTGATGAGCGCACCTGGGGTCATCGCCAAGCACACTCGCAAGAGTGGGTCGGAACACCTTGTCTTTCAAGATTCATCTCGTGGGAATGGCATCACAGGCGGGTGAGGTGGAGTGCGTGCACTCACCTGGGGTCTTCCCCCAGCACACTCGCAAGAGTGGGTCGGAACACCTTGTCCCGAAACGTCTCCACAAATCCCATGGCTGCTCGCAGTTGGGAGGAGGAGGGAAGGGGGGAGGGCGCAGAGGAAACGAGATAGAAATTGTGTTACACGGAGCAGAAGGGGAAAGCTGGCTCTTGAAAATCTTCTGAGAGGAATTGGCAGGAGAAGAGTGCGGGGGACGGGCGTGTGGCTTAGAAGGACACTCACTACTAGACATGCCTTAGAATTTTATTTTTAGTCTACCACCCACCTGCATTGGCCCCCACTGCCTCTCCACCCACCCACCCACCCACCTAAGTTGCCCCAACATCCCGCCCTCCTCTCTTCCTCTGCCCACCACCCACCAGAGCTGCTCCCCAAACTGCCCTCCACCACCCACCGGCCTATGTTGCGGAAGACGCGTCTAGCGTCTTAGACGCGTCCGTCTAGACGCAGCGTCTAAGACGCTAGACGCAATTTAGGCCAGATTAGACGCAGGTTTAGACGAAAGCCCAGGCAGGCCAAAAAAAGGTTGGGGCAGCCTAAAAAAACTTCTGTCGGGCATGGGGAGGGTGGGGGACATGCACATATGTCACAATTGGGTGAAATTTTCCCCGTACCATAACTTTTTTCCCATATTTTTTTTTCCAGGCTGCCCAAACAATTTTAGCCCAAGCGTCTAGCGTCTAAATGTGCGTCTTGCGTCTTCCGCAACATAGCCACCGGCGTTGTCCCCCCACTGCCTCTCCACGCCCTCCATGGCAGCAGCAAGGGCGTCGCCCCTCTCTGTTGTCACAGTCCGCTAAAAGCACACACACACACGCACACCTGCCCTCCAATGCCTCCACCACCCACTGGCGCTGGCCCCCTCCCCACCCACCCACCTACCCGCATTGCCCCCCCACTGCCGCTCCACGCCCTCCATGGCAGCAGCTAGCGCGTCGCCCCTCTCGGCAGCGCGCTCCATCTTGGCAATGGCGTCGTACAGACACTTGGTTATGTCCAATAGGGCCACCACCTCTCCCTCCTCTATCACTGGCAGGTGGCGAAACCTCCCTGTGTGGATGGCAATGGGATGGGTAAAGGCACGTGAGGGGGAGCATGAGCGGAGGGAGATTGAAAACAAACCCTCTCTGCAGCGCGCTCCATCTTGGCAATGGCGTCGTACAGGCACTTCGTTATGTCCAATAGGGCCACCACCTCTCCCTCCTCTATCACCGGCAGATGCCGGAACCTCCCTGGGGGTTGCGAATACGAGGGTTGGGACAAGGCACATGAACGCAGCAGAGCATTGAAGGTAAAGCACACCCAACACCGCGTGATGCCCAGCAGTGCCACCACCTCACCTCGCCCTCGTCTATCACCGGCAGGTGGCGGAACCTCCCTGGGGAAATGCAAACGGGATGGATGGGCAAAGCATGTACGCGTGCGTGCAAAACAATGAAGAAGAATCACCATCAACACCGCGTGATGTCCAGCAGTGCCACCACCTCGCGCTCCTCTATCACCAGCAAATGGCGAACCTGACTGGCGATGCAGTTGGGAAGAAGGGCGGACGGGCAAAGGCATGCGATGGCAGAGCAGTGAGTTCTTTCTGGAGGGTATGCAATGCAGTAGTGGAAGGAGCACTCAATGTGATGTGAATCCGTACTAGATGCTGTGCGTTACATCATGCATTACATATCACCCTGAAGCACCATGCGTTACATCTCATCTCACCCTGCACCATGCGTTACATCTCATCCCACCCTGCACCATGCGTTACATCTCATCTCACCCTGCACCATGCGTTGCAGTGCGTTTATCGACAGCAGAGGAGTCAATGGTGACGAAGGTGGGGTTCTTGGTCATAACGGCTGACGCCAGCGTGCTGTTCACATCCAGGCCCTCTCCCACACACTTCAATGCTAGGTCCTGCAACCCAACAGAAGCACCCACGCACACACACACAGACACAGATCAGTGAGGGTGTGGGGAAGGTGGGGTTCTTAGTCATCACTGCTGACGCCAGCGTGCTGTTCACATCCAGTCCCTCGCCCACACATTTCAATGCTAGGTCCTGCAACGAGAGCAGTGGAGAGAGGGGGGGAAGAGGAAGGGGGAGTGGTGAAATTTTGACAGTAACGTAAAAACCACGACTGTTACTGGAGGCAAGGATAAAATGCAGCAACACGACACAACAGTTTAAGAAGTATAGCCCGCCCCACGAAAGCGAGTAACCTATGTGCAGCAGTGAACACCACAGTTACTGCACTCTTTATGAAAATCACCTGATCCATCACAATCCCACGCAGAGTGCTGTACTCACTATAAGACCCACCCGGTCCGTCGTGATCCTACAATGCTTGCCTGTACTCGCTATGAGCCAGGGTTACCCACCCGATCCGTCATGATGCCACAGAGCAGCGCGCTGGAGTCGGTGAGCAGGCAGGCGTCCACGCGGCGGTTAGCCATTCGCCGACACGCGTCCGCCACTGTAGTGGTGTCCGGCAGCGTTAGAGCCTTGGACAGCCGCAGGCGCCGCACTGCTCGCTCGCCCGCTGCTGTGCTGCTGAGCGGAGGGAGGGGGGAGAAAGGTAAGGTACGGTGTGACGGAAGGGAGCGAGAGAGTGGAGAGGTGAATCGGAGAACAACAAGGGAGTGAGCGAGAGGATCGAGTGCCGACAAAAAAGGAGAAAAGAAGCGAGGAAATCTACCGCGGCAATGAGCCAAGACGACGATGATCAGCCCGAGGAGCTTTAGCCTTTGATCCACAGTAGGCATGGATCGAACTTAAAGAGTCTCATCTCCCCATCGGGACTTACATGCGCATTATCTGGATCGCCCGTGGGAATCGAAACGATCACCTATACATCCGTCGGAATCACCTCACTTTCTGTCAAAGCAATCAACGATCAGCAATCACCCATCCAAGCACCTCGATCCGCCCTTGCTCGCTGCGCTCCGCCTGCTGCCCGTGGACCGCTTGCTCGACTTCTTTGACGCATCGCGAGACCCGTCCCCCGCTCCGCTTCCCCGCGCCGCGTTCATGGCTCACGATCCGCTACGAAACGACAAGACACCCTCGCGCGGTCCGAGTAAACGCCTTAAAGACGACCCGGAAAAACCAAGGATAAACCGTGAGGTTCGTCGCGGTCCGATATGAACTAATGAACAACGGAGACGCAAGTGTGTCTGTTTTTCTAATAAGAGCGGAAATGAAGAGCCTATTTCTCCTGAGCTTCCGAGCACACGGGGCAACTTCAAGGTACATACTTCGTACTCCCAAGGTTCGCTTTGCGCGATAATTTGAAAGTTTGTCTGGCCTGTGTCCCTTGCGGTCGGTGTGCCAGCACTCGGATATACTCGCCGTAACTACGCTCGATAAATTTAGTAAAAATCAACCTTAACGATGCGAACATACTACTGTACACCCAGCCATCTCGATGAATTGGGCTCAGCAACCAGCTGACATTTCATTCAACAGATGTGTCCGTCGCGGCTCGCTCATCGGGCATCCTTTGTGTTCGGCGAAAGGTCCATCGGATTCGTCAACCGCGCAGACCGCTTCGCAACTTGCGTTCGCCGAGCCGCGATGAGGGACTACAAAATCGCTCGAATTCGCTGAGAACAATCACACAGCAAAGCTCGCCCCATCCTCCTCTGGGCCACCAGACCCATCATCCATCCGCAATTCCGTTTCCGCGGAGCTATTTCTCACGCACACCAGCAGCGCGTGAATCACAATCAAATCCGAATCCACATACCCACGTACCGTAGCTCTCTCCCATCGACATCAGGTTTCTCTCCTGCTCGTTAGTACTCGCCATGGCTCGCGCTGCCATCTTTTTCGCTGTCCTCTCGCTCCTCGCCATCGCCGCCACGGCGTGCAATGTCCCGCCTGGCGGGTGCCACGTCACCAAGGTGTGCAAGAAGCTCGTCAATCTCGAGAAATTCAACATCACGGCGGATAATTTCCGCAAGTACTCGCTGATTGGCTACTTCAAGGGCATGTTCAACAGCCAGGGCGGCAAAGTGAAACCCCAGAAGCCCGGATCTGGCCCCCTGAACCTCGAGATCTTCCAGGAGGTGGGCAATTTCGTCGAGGTTGTAACCAGCACCAGGGGCAACACGCTCGCCAAGTGCTGCGCGGCGTGCGCGAAATCCATGGACTGTTACGAGTACCACTTTTTCCTGAGCCCTCGCATCGAGGACAACGCAAACGTGAAGAACTTCCGCGACGGCGTCCAGTGCTACCTGCTGCAGAAAAACGCCGGATCCGGCGTCTCAGGCGGCCTCTCGCACCCGTACGCGGGCGACAGGAAGGAGCAGGCGGCCATGGCGCCGTACTTCCCGCTCAGCTGGGTGGGCGGGCTGTGCAACGGCAAGGCGACGGTGGAGAACGACCCTCACCTCACGGGCGCGCACGGGACGCACTTTGACTTCACTGGAAGGTTGAACAAGGCGTTCTGCCTGCTGTCTGACGAGCGCGTGCACATCAACATGCTGCTGGATGGCTACCAGGGCACTCCTCCTGCCGTGTCTGCTGGTGCTGTGACTGCTTCTGGTGCTGCTGCTGCTGCTGCTGCTGCTGCTGCTGCTGCGCCTAGCACTGGCCTGCACACCTGGATCAAGTATGGTGTTCATGGCACCTCTCGTGTTCCTGCTTCTCTTTGTCTTTTTCCCCCCATCGCTTCCTGCTGGATTCTCTGCGGTACTTCTTTATGCTCATGAGCTTGTTTAATTTTCTCATTTCCTCTGCAATTTTCCACTTCCTCATGTTCACAGTCTTCATGTTCTCCCCTGCGTGCTTCGCCTCCTAACTGTATGACTGCAGGGAGGTGGGAGTGGTGTGGGTATCAGGTGCCGGCAAGCAGCACTCGCTGCGCATGGTGGCGCGCACAGGCAACCAGCAGGGCAGGGGGGCTCACGGCTTCCTCGCTCTCATGCAGGTGGACGGTGCTGACGTGGCACCGCCACGCCTCATGGAGGAAGCAGTGGAGGCGGAGGGGGGAGTGGTGGTTACCAAGGTGGCGGAGGGGCGGGAGGGGCCGTTTGACGTGGATCGCTACACGGTGTCCCTGGAGGGAGTTGGGGAGCTGGACGTGCGCATGCGCGTGGCTCACCCGCTGCTGCAGACGCCCGAGGAGGCAGAGGCTCACTTCAACATCGCTCTTACTGACATTGTGGTGAGCTGTTGCTGGGTTTGAATGGGTACCTGGTGGTTCAAAGAGCTTGCGACCGAGCAACATGAGTTGCGTCCGCCTTCCCTTCCCCTTCTCACCCTGCTCCCCCTTCCCCCACCTCGTATCCACTCCCCCCACAGACCACTCCTCGGGTGCATGGGGTGCTGGGTCAGACGTTCCGTGACACCCCCGAGCAGCAGAGCAGGGCGCTGCGCTACACGCACCTGTCAGCGCTGCTGCACCACCCCATCGCCGCGGACCAGGAGGAGGGGCGCGGCTTCCTGGATGGCAGCGTGGACGACTATGTGTCATCGGGGATCACCCAGCCCGACTGCCGCTTCTCTGCCTTTGCTGGCCGCCAGGGGGGTGCCTCTGCTGCTGCGGCTGCTGCTGGTGCTGCTGGTAGTGCTGGTGGTGCTGCTGATGCTGGTGTTGGCGGTGTTGGTGTTGCAGGGAGTGCTGGTGCGGATGGGGAGGAAGCGACAGAGGATGTGCTGGCAAGCGTGGTGTAGAGAAAAGAAGCGAAGAGAACAAGGAGTCGATTAATGGAGGAGAGAGTAATGGCGCGAGTGGTGAGAAATGATGAGCCGTGGAGCAATGGAGGAGGATGTGAGTACAACGAAGGAGCTGCAGCTGGAAGGAGGGGGGGTGCTTGCAGCAGGAGGTGACTATACCAAAGGGGAGAGAGGGACAGCGACCTGCTGGAAGGGCTGCTGGAAGCACCGCCGAATAAGGCAGCCCAGAAGATCAGTCAGCGTCAGTGTTACAGTTACAGGAGCAGCAGCAGTAGGATGCATGGAAGATCTTTAGGAGTGCCTGCTGTGCGCAGCAAGTAGCTCGGCTCGACCCTGTATATAGCAAGGAAGGATCACCACTGCATGACCCTCTATGTATGCACCACATTTCACTATTTATATGAATCATTACAACTTCCCTCCCCAAACAACCGAATCTGACTTGCAACTTTCTGGCTTTCAAATCTCCCTCCACCACTTTGCACCACTCACAACACACCTTTTCGACCTCTGGAAAAGCGAAGGCTGCGCCTGGGGCCTGCTTCTGCCCCTGCTGGCTCTGCCTCCTCTCCTCCACAGCCTCCTCCCTCTTCTTTCTTTCCACCGCCTCCATCCTCCCCGCCTGGGGCATCAACACACTCACCATGCTTACCATGCTCACCATGCTTGAAATGGTCCCACGAATCAGAGGGGGAGGCCGCAGATGAGGCAGACACGGCAAGGACGAGGGTGCTTTCAGGTGAATCAACACACAGTGGGCTCGCAGCGGGTGCGGTGGTGGCGACATCAACACACAGTAGGTTAGCAGTGGGTGCGGTGGTGGGGGTGTCCACGGCTGTCGACGTGTGTGGTGCGGTTGTGCTTGGAAGGAGAGGGAGGGAAGGAGGAGGAGGAAGACGAGGGGCCGGGAGGCGGGGGAGGGAGGCAGAGGGGCAGAGCGAGCGGGAGGCGAGGAGGCAGGAGGAGCAGCGCGGGCCGATGGGCAGGCAGGTGGTCTGGCCGAAACCCACAAGCAGCGGGTTGATTCCCATCCACTCGTCTTTGGGTAGCAGCTGCTCTAGAGCCCGCCGCGTGTCCTCTGGTGTCTTGGCCTGGGAAGGGTTGGGTATGGGGGGGTTGAAGGAGGCACACGGGGCAGAGGGGGCAACAGGGCAGATGGGAAGCCGACGAGGAGTGGGTTGATGCCCATCCACTCGTCTTTGGGTAGCAGCTGCTCTAGAGCCCGCCGCGTGTCCTCTGGTGTCTTGGCCCTGGGTAGCAGCTGTTCTAGAGCTCGTATTGTGTCCTCTGGTGTTTTGGCCTGGGTGGTCACGGCGGGTGAGGGAAGGGAAAGAGGGCAGGTGGTTTGGCCGAAGCCAACGGGGAGCGGGTTGATGCCGTCTAATTGAGCGGGTTGGCCGAATCCACTCGTCGTCTAAGAAGTGAATCCTTGAGACGTCTCAAAAAATCGCTTTTTACACGTGGCATCTCTAGGTAGCAACTCTTTTTGAGGCGCCTCAAAGGTAGCAACACTTGTAGAGATCGCCGCGTGTCCCCCCTCTGGTGCCTTGGCCTGGAACAGTGAGTATAGAGGGGGGAGCTGGACAGACACACGGTATCAAAGGGGGAAAACGCGCAGGAGGAGCAGCGGGGGCCAATGAGCACATGAGCGCATGGGCAGGTGGGCGATGGTATGCATTGCCTTGCATGCGTACCTTGGCATCCGTCCACCCCAGGTGCCGTGCTATCCTGTGCACATGAGTGTCCACACAGATGCCCTCCATCCCACACAAGTACGGGCACATGGGCGGATGGGCACAGAGGCATATAAGCACATGCACACATAGGCACGTGACCAAATGCGCACCTTAGTGACTTTTGAGTCGACTCAAAAGTCACCTCATATAAGCACATGCACACATAGGCACGTGACCAAATGCGTACCTTAGTGACTTTTGAGTCGACTCAAAAGTCACCTCATATAAGCACATGCACACATAGGCACATGACCAAATGCGTACCTTAGTGACTTTTGAGTCGACTCAAAAGTCACCTCATATAAGCACATGCACACATAGGCACGTGACCAAATGCGTACCTTAGTGACTTTTGAGTCGACTCAAAAGTCACCTCATATAAGCACATGCACACATAGGCACGTGACCAAATGCGTACCTTGGCATCCGTCCACCCCAGGCGCCGTGCTATCCTGTGCACGTGCGTGTCGACACATATGCCCTCCACGCGCTCCCAAGCCACGTTCATCACCTGCGGGACAGGAACAGGCGCAGGTCATGAAGCATGGTGCATGAGGTATGGTGGGGCATGGAACACGTGGGCGCATGGGTAAATGGATGTGCAGAGGAAAAATTATGTGAGTGAGTGTCCACACATATGCCCTCCACTCGTTCCCATGCCGCGTTCATCACCTGTGGGACAGGGCAAGAGGCATGGGGCATGTGGCATGTGGCATGTGGCATGGGGCATGGGGCATGGGGCATGGGGCATGGGGCATGTGGCATGTGGCATGTGGCATGGGGCATGGGGCATGGGGCATGTGGCATGTGGCATGTGGCATGTGGCATGTGGCATGGGGCATGGGGCATGTGGCATGTGGCTGAGTGGGTTCAGCGAGTGTCCACACATCCCATGCCACGTTCATCACCTGGGGGACATGGGTGCACATTTTTGAGAATTCTCAAAAGTGCAGTGCGTGTGTCCAACCATACCTCATGCACATGCATGGAACATGGGTTACATACACGTCATGGGACATGGCCCATGGGCATGTGGTCGGTGCATGGAATGCTGTCTACACCATGAAGGGAGCGTGCATGCAAATGCATGCAAATGCGTGCATATGGACAAAGTGCTGTATCCAGCCAATCCCATTTCGACTTCCTCTCTTGCAAAAGCGTCCCACACCTCGTGTATGAAGATTTGTTTTGAGACGTCTCAAAACTGATCCTCTTCCCTCCCTCACCTCCCAGTCCTCCTCTCTCTCGCTTACTCTTACCCCCAACCTCCCCCAACCTCCCCCAGCCTCCCCCAACCTCCCCAGCCTCCCCCAGCCTCCCCCAACCTCCCCCAACCTCCCCCAACCTCCCCCATAATTGCACTCCCTGCCCGCTCGCTCGCACCAGATAGGCCATTTTAGGCCCGACGCCGGGCAGCGCAAGCAGATCTTCCAGGCTGCCCGGAATGTCTCCTCCGTGCTTCTCCAAGCAGAGATTGGCCATTTTCTTCAGGTATCCCGCCTTGCGCACGTAAAAGCCCACCTTTAGAACGGTGGTAAGGGTTGGGGAGGGGTGGAAAGGGATGGTTAGGATTCATGTTCTTCAAGTACCCCGCCTTCGCACGTAAAAGCACACTTTCATGCTGTGTGGGTGAGGGTGGGGAGGGGTGTGGAGGGGTGTGGAGGGGTGAGGAGGGATAATTGTGGGTGGAAGCACAGTCAGAGGCAGAAGAAGGCGATGAGAAGAGGGATGGGGAAAGAACAGGCGGTTGAGTGAGGGAAGATGGAGAGAGAGGAGGCGATGGGGTGAGGAATAGGGGGAATGGAGAGGAAGTGGGGATGGGAAGATGTCATGTGTGGTGCGGGCTTGGCCAAGTCGTACCACATTTGAGGCGCCTCAAAATTTTTGAGGACTTTTGAGGCGCCTCAAAAATGGAGAGGAATTGGGGATGGGAAGATGTCATGTGTGGTGCGGGCTTGGCCAAGTCGTGTCGTACCACATAAGAGGCATACCGGGTAGATGGTTTGGTTTTGAGGCGCCTCAAAAATGGAGAGGAATTGGGGATGGGAAGATGGCATGTGTGGTGCAGGCTTGGCCAAGTCGTGTCGTACCACATAAGAGGCATACCGGGTAGATGGTTTGGTTTTGAGGCGCCTCAAAAATGGAGAGGAATTGGGGATGGGAAGATGTCATGTGTGGTGCAGGCTTGGCCAAGTCGTGTCGTACCACATAAGAGGCATACCGGGTAGATGGTTTGGTTTTGAGGCGCCTCAAAAATGGAGAGGAATTGGGGATGGGAAGATGTCATGTGTGGTGCAGGCTTGGCCAAGTCGTGTCGTACCACATAAGAGGCATACCGGGTAGATGGTTTGGTTTTGAGGCGCCTCAAAAATGGAGAGGAATTGGGGATGGGAAGATGTCATGTGTGGTGCAGGCTTGGCCAAGTCGTGTCGTACCACATAAGAGGCATACCGGGTAGATGGTTTGGTTTTGAGGCGCCTCAAAAATGGAGAGGAATTGGGGATGGGAAGATGTCATGTGTGGTGCAGGCTTGGCCAAGTCGTGTCGTACCACATAAGAGGCATACCGGGTAGATGGTTTGGTTTTGAGGCGCCTCAAAACTAGACTACCAAATAAGAGGCATACCGGGTAGATGGTTTGGCTGACGGTCGTTTCCTCTGCTGCCTTGAGCGCTTCAGGCGACAGCAGCCCTGCTGCGTGCAGCCGTGCCACTGCCGCTGGTGATGGTTGGGAGGATTGGGGGGGATTGGGGAGGATTGGGGGGGATTGGGGGGGATTGGGGGGGATTGGGGGGGATTGGGGGGGATTGGGGAGGATTGGGGGGGATTGGGGAGGATTGGGGGGGATTGGGGGGGATTGGGGGGGATTGGGGGGGATTGGGGGGGATTGGGGGGGATTGGGGAGGTTTGGGGGGATTGGGGAGGATTGGAGGGGATTGGGGAGGATTGGGGGGGATTGGGGGGGATTGAGGAGGATTGGGGGGGATTGGGGAGGTTTGGGGGGGATTGGGGAGGATTGGGAAGGGAGGATTGAGAGCAGGATGAACCAGGAGGGGAATGGAGGTGAGGGAGGGGTGGGAGAGGGACAAGGGGGAAGTTTGGTTTGGAATGGGAAGGAAGGGAAGTGGGAGTGGTGGAGAGTGATACACATGGTCTTGCAGTGGGCGGCACATGGTGTTGCAGTGGGCGGCACATGGTGTTGCAGTGGGCGGCACATGGTGTTGCAGTGGGCGGCACATGGTCTTGCAGTGGGAGGCACATGGTCTTGCAGTGGGCGGCACATGGTCTTGCACGCACCATGAGCTACAGGGTCCTTGGTCTGAGAGGAGAGCATGACAAGCCCTGCCACATGTCACCGTGAGTGACAGGCGCAATGTGACACATGGCCTCGCAATGGGCGGCGCACGTACCATGAGTGACGGGGTCCTTGGTCTGTGAGGAGAGCATCGCCGACACCAGCACTGCAAAGCGCCGCTGCTGCTCCGGGGAGAGGATGCGGCAAGAGGAGTGCGGCAAGAGGAGCGCGGCAAGAGGAGTGCGGCAAGAGGAGTGCGGCAAGAGGAGTGCGGCAAGAGGAGTGCGGCAAGAGGAGTGCGGCAAGAGGAGTGCGGCAAGAGGAGTGCGGCAAGAGAGCGGGGAGAGGAGTGCGGCAAGAGGAGTGCGGCAAGAGAGCGGGGAGAGGAGTGCGGCAAGAGAGCGAGCGAGAGCGGGAGTGTAAAGGGGTGGTGGAGGAAGGCAGGAGTGGAAAGGGGGGAGTAAGGAAGGGGCGGGCAGAAGGGAGAAACAAGGTGCGAGAGAGAATGCATGAGGATAGCATGAGAGAGAATGATTCATTCCTTTTGAATAGCTACTTCCCCCGTGCCGTATGTTTCCAGCAACAATGCCCTGGTGACCATTTAACAAACAAGCACATTTTCCTCCCGCAACCCCAGACCCACCTTGTCCGCCATGCCCTGTCGGACCCACCTTGTCCGCCATGCCCTGTCGGACCCACCTTGTCCGCCATGCCCTGTCGGACCCACCTTGTCCGCCATGCCCTGTCCTGCCTTCTCACACCCCATGCTATCAACAGGTGCGCCTCCTCCACTCCGCATCTCCTTGATTGCTGCAACCACCTCCTGCCACCTCCCCACCCCCGCCCTTTTTGCCTGCCCGCCGGAAAATCTTTTCGGCTGCCCGGCGACAACAATTCCCCCTCCAGCTCTGCTGTCTGCGTCTCTCCCTGCCGGCTGCCTTCGTTTCCTCCTGCCCCTGCCTCCACCCCAAGCACCCTCAGCCATGACCGAGTTTTGAGTCGACTCAAAACTCGACCAAGCACCCTCAGCCATGACCGCAGCCTCTGCTACAGCCGCGTCACCAGCCTCGCTACAGCCGTGCCTTCAGTCACCGCTACAGCCATGTCAGCATCTGCCACACATGCTTCCCTGCCTGCCATCTCGTCGACCGCCTCTCTCTTCACAGTCACATCCTCCGCTTCCCTCTTTACAGTCACGTCACCTCCTCGCGTTACCACCACACCACCTCCGGTCGTTCCAGCCTCGTCATCTGACTCCCGCTTCACAACCACATTGCCTGCTTGTTGCGTTACAGTCACCTCCTCTAATTCCCCCTTCACAACCACCTCGTCTGTTTCCCTCTTTACAGTCACACCCGTTCGCTGCCTTGCGGACATGCGCCGTGCGACCTGCATTGTCTCTTGCCCGTTTTCGTTAATGTCTTCTCCTATACACTCCTCTTCATAATCCACAATGATTGTCGGCTTTCTCCCGCCCCGTGCGCGCCTGCTGTAAACTCTTGTGCCTGCCGGCCGCATGCTCCCTAATGTTTCACCATCCCTTGCGCGTTCGCAATCTTCTGCCGGCCCGCCACTGACAGCGCCAACGTGCGCAAAGCGCATGAATTCGTTCATCGGCGCGCGGAAAAGCGCAATGCGCGCACGGGCTGCGGAGATGAGGGGGACGGCGAGAGATGCTGCGGTGCGGGCGATCATTGGGCGCAAGTGCTAGGCAGAATCTACAGCGCTCTGTCGTGACGGCGCGACGGCGCTACCGCGCTACCGCCCTAATGCGGGGACAGCGTGCGGTGCACGCGAGTGAGTCGAGCAGACCGCGACTGTGCACACGCACAGCCGTACGCGCTGCTAATGTTACGCAATAGCTGAGCAACGCATCGGACATTAAAAAAGAGGCTGGAGATAAGCCAACTAATTCCGATAATAATGACACTGAAGAATGCAAAAGGGTGGTGGATTGGTCTCGTGGCCCGAGCCTGCGAGGGAAACCTCGGCCGCGCACTCAGCCTCGCTATCCCTCCACCGCTGGGAGCGGGGGTTTTCGCTGCTCGGTTTCCCGCCTCACGCGGTGCCCCCCTCTCTAACCGCCACGTCACCACTCCTTCCGGTGTGATGCCGCTGCGGACTCTCAGCTTGGAGCGGACGAGTCATCGATGTGGCAGGCCGATGGTCTCGCAGGTGTGCGACAATCCCAAGATTAGGCCCCCGCTCGGGTTACAGTCGGGCGCGACCCCGACCGGCGATGTCGGCTGTGGAATTTGCAAAATTAATGGAGTTCACAATAAGTTTGAAGTGTTTGCTGGGATAAATTTGCCAGCTGGCAAAACACTACTTGAAGGGCACAGCGAATGGTCCACATGCCTTGCAAATTTGTTCCCTTGCTCCATTGCGAGATGCTGTCCACAATGTTTCCAGTAAAAAATGGACAAGAGAAGAAAACACTATCAGCGCTCCTCTGTTCAACAGCTGCATCGCATCACATTCAACAAGACCAAAGAGAAAAAGCTATGCAGGCTATGACTATCATTCCCCATAAAAAAAACTAAGTTAATTCTTGCAACTACCCAACTGAAGTTTGCCCCTAGCCACTACCTCATGTCATTCCTTTCCCTCCCTCCATCCTCCACTCCACTCCTTCCCACAACCCTCACTCACTCCTGCACCATGCCCTCCTCTGTCACCGCCCCCAATTCTCCCGCCTCCCCTGCCTCCACCTCCATGTCCCCTGCTCCATCCCCCCACTTGCTCGCACTAGCACGGGCTTCAGCCAGAGGAGGGGGAGGCGGCGGGCGAGGGGGGCGGGCATCACGAGAATCTCGGGCATCTCTGGGAAATTCTCTGGAATCTCTTGATACATCTCTGGGGGCACCTGGATGGGTATCTCTGAAATCTCTGGCGTCTCTGGAATCTCTGGCATTTCTCCCGCGCTCCCCTCCAACGCCCTCAGCTCTGTTCTCCATGCGCCTGTTGCCGTTACCTGCATCCTCTCCCCCCTCCCCTCCTCCCTCCCTCACCTGCCCGTTGGGTATCCTGTGAGGGCTGCTCACACCAGAAGCAGGGGCAGAGGCGGGGGCAGAGGAGGAAGGAGGGCCCTCCCCATCTCTCCACCTGCGCTTCCATGCCTCGCTCCTCTCCTCCTCCCTCTCCCCTCCCCTCTCTGCACTCTTCCTAGATCCACCGTCTCCCCCCTCCCCTCTTCCCCAACCACCACCAGAAGGCCGGTCTGAATCCCGACCGTCTGATCTCCTCCGCTCTGCCGTCCACGCCCCACCCCCTCCACCACCTCCTTCTCTCCACTCCCTCCCTCTCCCTTTCTCTCTCTCCCTCTCTCCTTCCCGCCCTCTCTCCCTCTCTCGCTCCCGCTCCCACCTCCCCCCTTCCCGAGCCTTAAACGATCGGCCCCCTGAACCATCCATCGTGTCTCGCTGCGCCGGGTCCCGAGCCTCTCGTCCAGGTTCGGAAGACCGGTGCGGTCGCTGTGTAGGTTCGGCAGCAGGTGGTACAACAGCGCCAGGGTCGGGAGTCATTTGGGCACTCCTAGGTTCGGAAGAGCCACGCCTGTCTCTCACTCTGTCACGGGCCCTCTCACCCTCGCCTCTCTCCCAACCCTTTCCATCTCCTTTCACGCCCTTCCCATGCTCCCTATGCTCCCTATGGTCCCTGTGCTCTCTATGTTCCCTATGGTCCCTATGTTCCCTATGCTCTCTGTGCTCTCTGTGTGCTCTATGCTCGTCCTGTCTGTGCCTATCATCTCTGTTCTTCTCATCTCTGTTCTTCTCATCTCTGTGCCTCTCATTCCTGTGCTTCTCATCCTGCTCCTTTAAACGCTCGTCTCCCCTCCCCCTCTCCTCCCTCCATCTTCTCTCCCTGCTCCGCTCCCTGTCCCTGTCCCTCTCCCTGTCCTTGTCCCTATCCTTTTCAGTGCCCCTTTCCTTGTCCTTCTCCCTCTCCCTCTCCCTCTCCCTATCCCTCTCCTTATCCCTCTCCCTCCCTCTCTCCCTGTCCCTATCTCTCTCCTTCTCCCGTTCTCGCTCACGCTCCCGGTCCTTCTCCCCGCCTTCCTTCCCATCGCTCCCACGGTCGTCTCTCAGCTTGCGGTAGATGTCGGCCAATCGCGTGCCGGACAGGTGCGAGTGCAGGGCCACATAATCCCACAGGTCCTCGGAGATCTCTGCACACAAGTGTCAGATTGAAGGAGAAGAGATGGGAAGCAGAGATGGAAAGACAGTCAGTAAATGTCGGCCAATGAGGTGCCAGACAGGTGTGAGTGGAAGGCCACATAGTCCCACAGGTCCTCAGAGATTCCTGGAGTAAGAGCTGGGAGGTGCAGGAGCGAGGTAAGCAGGTGGCAGAGAGTGCATAGATGAAAACAAGGCGATGGAGAAGGAAGGAAGGAAGGAAGGAAGGAAGGAAGGAAGGAAGGAAGGAAGGAAGGAAGGAAGGAAGGAAGGAAGGAAGGAAGGAAGGAAGGAAGGAGGAAGGAAGGACGGAAGGAAGGAAAGGAAGGAAGGAAGGAAGGAAGAAGGAAGGAAGGAAGAAGGAGGAAGGAAGGAAGGAGGAAGGAAGGAAGGAAGGAAGAGGAAGGAGGAAGGAAGGAAGGAGGAGGAAAGGAAGAAGGAAGGAAGGAAGGAAGGAAGGAAGGAAGGAAGGAAGGAAGGAAGGAAGGAAGGAAGGAAGGAAGGAAGGAAGGAAGGAAGGAAGGAAGGAAGGAAGGAAGGAAGGAAGGAAGGAAGGAAGGAAGGAAGGAAGGAAGGAAGGAAGGAAGGAAGGAAGGAAGGAAGGAAGGAAGGAAGGAAGGAAGGAAGGAAGGAAGGAAGGAAGGAAGGAAGGAAGGAAGGAAGGAAGGAAGGAAGGAAGGAAGGAAGGAAGGAAGGAAGGAAGGAAGGAAGGAAGGAAGGAAGGAAGGAAGGAAGGAAGGAAGGAAGGAAGGAAGGAAGGAAGGAAGGAAGGAAGGAAGGAAGGAAGGAAGGAAGGAAGGAAGGAAGGAAGGAAGGAAGGAAGGAAGGAAGGAAGGAAGGAAGGAAGGAAGGAAGGAAGGAAGGAAGGAAGGAAGGAAGGAAGGAAGGAAGGAAGGAAGGAAGGAAGGAAGGAAGGAAGGAAGGAAGGAAGGAAGGAAGGAGGAAGAAGGAAGGAAGGAAGGAAGGAAGGAAGGAAGGAAGGAAGGAAGGAAGGAAGGAAGGAAGGAAGGAAGGAAGGAAGGAAGGAAGGAAGGAAGGAAGGAAGGAAGGAAGGAAGGAAGGAAGGAAGGAAGGAAGGAAGGAAGGAAGGAAGGAAGGAAGGAAGGAAGGAAGGAAGGAAGGAAGGAAGGAAGGAAGGAAGGAAGGAAGGAAGGAAGGAAGGAAGGAAGGAAGGAAGGAAGGAAGGAAGGAAGGAAGGAAGGAAGGAAGGAAGGAAGGAAGGAAGGAAGGAAGGAAGGAAGGAAGGAAGGAAGGAAGGAAGGAAGGAAGGAAGGAAGGAAGGAAGGAAGGAAGGAAGGAAGGAAGGAAGGAAGGAAGGAAGGAAGGAAGGAAGGAAGGAAGGAAGGAAGGAAGGAAGGAAGGAAGGAAGGAAGGAAGGAAGGAAGGAAGGAAGGAAGGAAGGAAGGAAGGAAGGAAGGAAGGAAGGAAGGAAGGAAGGAAGGAAGGAAGGAAGGAAGGAAGGAAGGAAGGAAGGAAGGAAGGAAGGAAGGAAAAGGAAGGAAGGAAGGAAAGGACGGGGAAGGAAGGAAGGAAGGAAGGAAGGAAGGAAGGAAGGAAGGAAGGAAGGAAGGAAGGAAGGAAGGAAGGAAGGAAGGAAGGAAGGAAGGAAGGAAGGAAGGAAGGAAGGAAGGAAGGGAAGGAAGGAAGGAGGAAGGAAGGAAGGAAGGAGGACGGAAGGAAGGAAGGAAGGAAGGAAGGAAGGAAGGAAGGAAGGAAGGAAGGAAGGAAGGAAGGAAGGAAGGAAGGAAGGAAGGAAGGAAGGAAGGAAGGAAGGAAGGAAGGAAGGAAGGAAGGAAGGAAGGAAGGAAGGAAGGAAGGAAGGAAGGAAGGAAGGAAGGAAGGAAGGAAGGAAGGAAGGAAGGAAGGAAGGAAGGAAGGAAGGAAGGAAGGAAGGAAGGAAGGAAGGAAGGAAGGAAGGAAGGAGGAAGGAAGGAAGGAAGAAGGAGGAAGGAAGGAGGAAGGAGGAGGAAGGAAGGGAAGGAAGGAAGGAAGGAAGGGAGAAGGAAGGAAGGAAAGGAAAGTGAAGGAAGGAAGGAAGGAAGGAAGGAAGGAAGGAAGGAAGGAAGGAAGGAAGGAAGGAAGGAAGGAAGGAAGGAAGGAAGGAAGGAAGGAAGGAAGGAAGGAAGGAAGGAAGGAAGGAAGGAAGGAAGGAAGGAAGGAAGGAAGGAAGGAAGGAAGGAAGGAAGGAAGGAAGGAAGGAAGGAAGGAAGGAAGGAAGGAAGGAAGGAAGGAAGGAAGGAAGGAAGGAAGGAAGGAAGGAAGGAAGGAAGGAAGGAAGGAAGGAAGGAAGGAAGGAAGGAAGGAAGGAAGGAAGGAAGGAAGGAAGGAAGGAAGGAAGGAAGGAAGGAAGGAAGGAAGGAAGGAAGGAAGGAAGGAAGGAAGGAAGGAAGGAAGGAAGGAAGGAAGGAAGGAAGGAAGGAAGGAAGGAAGGAAGGAAGGAAGGAAGGAAGGAAGGAAGGAAGGAAGGAAGGAAGGAAGGAAGGAAGGAAGGAAGGAAGGAAGGAAGGAAGGAAGGAAGGAAGGAAGGAAGGAAGGAAGGAAGGAAGGAAGGAAGGAAGGAAGGAAGGAAGGAAGGAAGGAAGGAAGGAAGGAAGGAGACAGAGGAGAAGGCAAAGGGCAAAGGGGGGGACTGACTCTGCAGGTGGGAAATTCGCAGAGAAGGAGGAGAGGGAGAGGGAAAAGAGAAGGAGAGGGCGAGAGGAGAACTCACTCTGCAGGTGGGAGCGGGGGAGGGCGGCATCGCTGGCCTCGCGCTTCATGACGCTGTCGATCTCGTGCCCCAGCTGTCTGAGGTACTTCTTCACCTTCTGCGTCACCTCCTTGGGCGACAGCTCCTGCCGCGTCTGCAGCCGCTTCAGCCGCTGCAGCACACTATCCTGAGGGGCCAGCCGCCCCTTGCACCACGCCACTCCCCGCCTCCCCTCCCCACCCTCTCCCCCTCCCCCTGCGACTCCGGCTCCTCCCACAACCCCCTCTTCCTCCTTCCCGACCTTGCTCCCTCCTCCACCTGCGGCCCCTGCTGCTGCGGCGGCAGCAGCGGCTGCTGTGGCTGCAGCTGCAGTGGCATCCTCCCCTTCGGAAATCTCCCCCTCCTCCTTTGCCTCCTCAGCCTCCCTCTCCTTTTCCTTCTCCGGGGACCGTTTCTCCTTCTCCTCCTCCCTCCTCCCCCGCCTCCGCCCCTCCCTCTCCCCACCATGCCTCCTCTCCCTCTCTCTTTCCCCAGCCCCTTCCCTCCCTCGCCCTTTCCGCCCCCTCTCCTCCCTGCCTCTGCGGCCCCCACCCAGAGCAACGGCTTCGTCAGCGCCAGAAGCAGCAGCAGAGCCAGCAGCAAAGGCACCCTTGCCTCCTCCTCGCACCTTGATCTTGACCTTTAGGGCGTTGGCTGCTGCTGCAGCCTTGGCATGGTGAGGATCCGCCTCCAGCTCCTGAGGGACCCAGAAGTTGGGGTGGGGAAATGGACGGGGAATGAAAGGTTGGGGTTTTCATGAAAAAAAGGGCTTCAAAGGACGAATTGTAAGGCTCGAGATGCACAAGTGACGTGCGAACTTGACTCACACAGTCCCACTCACCCTCAATTCAACCCACACTTGCCCGCCCCACGCTCACTCACTCTTCACTCGCTCCCCCTTCACCCCTCAATCACCCTTTAGACGTATCCCCTCCCCTCCCTCTCCCCGCTTCAGTACCTTGCGCAGCAGAGCAGATGCCCGTGCATCCAAATGACTCCCCCTCGGCAGCTTCCCCTCTCCCCCTCCCCCAATCCCACCCGTTGATCCAGGCGGCGCGATCTTATTCTCCAATCCCAACCGTTCATCCAGCCGAACCTGCTCCCAGTTGCCAAACCCATGGAAGTGCACCCCCAGCAGCAACCTCGCATCATCCACAGGCGTCCAAGATGTAGTCTTGGCCCACGAGGGCACGCGTGCATGCGACCGCAGGCGGAACTGCTTCACAGGGTCGCTCACTCGCTCCACCCGCTTCGCCAGGAACTGCAGCTCCTTCACTCTCTGCAGCAGCTCCGGGGCTTTCACCGCCACACCGAAGAAATCCAGCAGAGGGATCTTCGCTGCTGCTCCTGCCCCTCCTGCTGCTGCCGCTGCTGCTGCTGCTGCTGCTCCGGCTGCTCCCAATGCTTCGTCTTCCTCTGCGGCGGCGGCGGCTCGCACAGTGTCTTTGCAGGCTTGCATGAGCAGCGAGTGGAGGGACCGCCGCTCTGCTTCACTCGCTGCCTCTAGTGCTCCGCCGGCCTCGGCTGTCATTTGTGCCACCCGCTCTGCTCCCCCGTACCGCCTCACTGCCTTGACAAACGCATTGGCATCTCGCTTAGATAGTCGCCGAACCTTCACACCACCAGCACCACCAGCGGTACCAGCAGCAGCAGCTGCACCAGCACCACCAGCTTCCCTGCTCCTGCTCCCGTTCCCCCCTCTGCTGCACCCGCCCCTGCCCTGCTGCAGCCCCTTTCCCCCCTGCTCCCTCTCCTCCTCCCCCGTCCCCCTCCCCCTGCACCGTCCACTGAGTAATCCGCACCAGCGCCCCTTCCACAGCAGGCGCAGCAGCAGGATACCCGCCCTCCTCCCCACCCCCATCCCCCTGCTCCCTCCGCCCTCGCTTCCTCTTCCCCCCACTTTCCTTCCCGCCCCGCCTACCACCCCTGCCCTCTCGCCCATCCTCGTCCTCATCATCAGCCTCCCCCAGGAGCCCATCGCCCGTGTAGGTGGCGTTGCGCCGGGAGGAGCGCGGGCCGAGAGCCTTCTCCTCCTCTGCCGGTGCTGCCTGGATGAGGCGACTCCAGAAGGCAGCGTCGTTTTCTGTGCTGCTGAAATTCGCCACCTGGGGGGGGGGGGGGAGGGGGAGGGGGGACCAGGCAGCAGGAAGGATATGAGCATGGGAGGCAGCGGGATTCCCTGCCCTCCCTTCCCTCCTCGTCCTCATCATCAGCCTCCCCCAGCAGCCCATCGCCCGTGTAGGTGGCGTTGCGGCGGGAGGAGCGCGGCCCCAGCGTCTTCTCCTCCTCTGCTGGCGCTGCCTGGATCAGCCGACTCCAGAAGGCTGCGTCATTTTCTGTGCTGATGAAATTCGCCACCTGGGGGCGGGGATTGGGGAAAGCGGGAGGAAGATACAGCAGAATAGCGAAGGTGGGAAGGAGGATGGGGAAAGCGGAGCGGGCAGCAGGAAGGGAATGTGCATAGGTAAGAGGCACTGCACTTGATTTTGTTTTTTCTACAAACATTGCCGACTCTTGAGGCGCCTCAAAAGCCCCAGCGCACCCTTGAAGGACTCAAAACGCAGAGAACAGTTCATTAGCGTTTTGCCAGGATCTCATCAATGCCCATATTTACCAACCGGCTCACACACACACATACACGCCCACGCCCATCCCCTTGCCCTTGCCCTTGCACATGCGCGCTTACACACGTGCAAGCCCGCACACGCACAATCACCTCCCACTCGTCATGCACCCACACATACTCTCACTGAGAAACTCACAGTAAACGCAGAGAGCAGCTCATTAGCGCCCTCCCCCGCAGTGCTGCTGTCGATCTTCTCAGCGCGTGCCAGGATCTCATCTATGTCCAGATTCTCCAACCGGCTCGCACATGCACGCATGCACATATGAACACACACACTCACTCCCTTGAGTAACTCACAGTGAAGGCAGAGAGCAGCTCGTTAGCGCCCTCCCCCGCAGTGCTGCTGTCGATCTTCTCAGCGCGTGCCAGGATCTCATCTATGTCCAGATTCTCCAACCGGCTCGCACATGCACGCATGCACATATGAACACACACACTCACTCCCTTGAGTAACTCACAGTGAAGGCGGAGAGCAGCTCGTTAGCGCCTTCCCCCGCGGTGCTGCTGTCGATCTTCTCGGCGCGTGCCAGGATCTCATCGATGTCCAGATTCTCCAGCCGGCTGGAGCCCTCCTCCTCGCTCACTTTCTCCTTGAAGAGCTCCTCTGCTCCGAACCGCAGAATGGCCGCCAACTCGTTCTGATGGAGAAAGAGGAGGAAGAGAGAGGATGACAAAGGGAGGAACAGAGCGGCTTAAGATGCTGGTACTGGAGTTAAATCAGAGAGAAGAGAACACACTCGCTCCTTGAACTGTGAAAACCCACACAATGGCACCCAACTCGTTCTTGCTCTGCTTCTCAACCACTACCATCCCCCATCACTCCCATCCCACACCAACCCTCCACCACCTAAGTCCCACCTTGTCGAACATGGAGCTGCTCTTCTTGCTCTGCGTCTTCTCAACCACTACCATCCCACACTATCCTACCACGTCCCCACTACGCACCGCCCTCCCCAACCATGCACCACCGCATCCCATCTTATCGAACATGCGGCTGCTTTTCTTGCTCTGAGTCTTCTCCAGCCGCCCGGCAACGTTGAGCTTCTGGATGACGAGGCGGTCCAGCACCATCTCACACTACCCCAACGCATCCACCCCCTCACCGCCCCCAACCGCATCCCACCTTATCAAACATGCTGCTGCTCTTCTTGCTCTGGGTCTTCTCCAGCCTGCCGGCAGCGTTGAGCTTCTGGATGACGAGGTGGTCCAGCACCATCTTGCGCTTGGCGCGCTCCAGAATGGCACCCCAACCTCCCCCTTCCCCCACCACCCCCCACTCCCTTCAACCGCACTGCACCTTATCGAACATGCTGCTGCTCTTCTTGCTGGTGGTCTTCTCCAGCCGCCCGGCGGCGTTGAGCTTCTGGATGACGAGGTGGTCCAGCACCATCTTGCGCTTGGCGCGCTCCAATATGTCCTCCTCCACGCTGCCACTCGTCACAAACCGGTAGATGTTCACCACGTCCTGCTGCCCTATCCTGTGCGCACGACTCATGGCCTGACGAGGGAGGGGCGGGGAGGGGAGGAGCGGGGAGGGGAGGAGCGGGGAGGGGAGGAGCGGGGAGGGGAGGAGCACGGGCAAACAAGGTGGCTAGAGGGTCAGGGAAGGAGAGAGGAAGCTGGAAACCGAGGGGCAACAGACGTGCGGCAGCAATTTGGTTGAAGGTTCCTAGAGGGCAGCAAACCCGATACTCTCAAACTGAACATGATTCAGCGCAATCACTTGGCGGGCAGCACCTGCTCACCTGCAGGTCGTTCTGTGGGTTCCAATCCGAGTCAAAAATAATGACTGTGTCGGCCGTGGCGAGATTAATCCCCAATCCACCAGCGCGCGTGGAGAGCAGGAAGCAGAAGTCGTCACTGCCGGGCGCATTGAAGTGCTCCATGGCCTGCTGCCTCAGGTCCGCCCTTGTGCTGCCGTCTAGTCTCTGGAACTGGAAGCCCCGCAGGGCGAGGTAGTCTGCTAGAATGTCCAACATGCGCACCATCTGAGGGAGATGGGGAAGGGAGGGAAGCGGGAGAACAATGAGAAGAGGAAGGAGAGGCACTGAAGTGCTACATGGCCTGCTGCCTCAGGTCCGCCCTCGTGCTGCCGCCCAGCCTTTGGAACTGGAAGCCCCGCAGGGCGAGGTGGTCGGTTAGAATGTCCAACATGCGAACCATCAGAGGGACAGGGGGAAGGGAAAGGGATTATGAAGGATGAGGAACAAATAGTTGGTCACCACGTGGCTCATCATACCACAGTACCAACACCACAGTGACACTCCTGCCCATACTTGCAGCACCAACACCTCTGAAAATGCCTCTAATTAGACCCAGATTCAGAAGGGCAAATCACAAACGAATAAATCACACTTAATCAAACCCACCTGGCAGAAGATGAGCACGCGGTGAGTCGGAGACCCGTCTCTTTGAGACAAGTGAGCAGCTTATCCAGCAGCGTCGTCTTCCCACTCCCCAGCACGATCCACTGCGCCTTGCCCTGTGCGTCTAGCGCCCCTCCAGCCGCCCCATCAGGTGCCCCAAAGCACATAAAATCAGGGCATAAATCACACTTAATCAAACCCACCTGGGAGAAGATGAGAACGCGGTGGCCCGTTTCTTTCAGCCTCGTCAGCAGCTTATCCAGCAGCGTCGTCTTCCCACTCCCCAGCACGATCCGCTGCGCCTTGCCCTGAGCGTCCAGCGCCCCTCCAGCCGCCCCGCCCCCGTAGCCGTAGTCAGCGCTCTCGAAGAGGAAGGGGTGGTTGCAGCACTTCTTGAGCTCTGCCACGATGTTGAGAAGGGAGACTTGGTTGCTGCGCGCATTCTTGTTCAGATCCTGAAAGTTGCGCTCCAGGATCCACTTGTAGTACCTGCATGTGGGGGCGGAGAGGGAGGACGGGGGTGGGGGGGAGAGAAAGGGCAGGATGGGAGGGGAGAGAGAGTGTGAGAGGGGGAGGAGAGAGTGAGAAGGCATGTGAGGTAAGCTAGGGGTGGTTGCAGCACTTCTTAGAGTTCCGCCACGATGTTGAGCAGCGACACCTGGTTGCTGCGTGCGTTCTTGTTCAGGTCCTGAAAGTTGCGCTCCAGGATCCACTTGTAGTACCTGAGTGAGGGAGGAGAGAGGGAGAGGGAAGAGGAAGGGGAGGTTGCAGCACTTCTTGAGCTCTGCCACGATGCTGAGCAGCGACACCTGGTTGCTGCGCGCGTTCTTGTTCAGGTCCTGAAAGTTGCGCTCCAGGATCCACTTAGTACCAGCGACGGGGAGGGGAGGGGAAGGGGAGGGGGGGAAGGGAGAAAGTTGGGGGGGGAGAGGGCAGAAAAGGGGAAAAGGATGTTTAGATCCTGGAAGTTGCGCTATAATATCCACTTGTACTAACTGAAAGGGAGGGGAGGGGTAGTGCGAGGGGGTAAGGGGGAGTGGGCAAGACGAGGGAGTGAAGGAGAGGGAGTAAAGGAGAGGGAGTAAAGGAGAGGGAGTAGTAAAGGAGAGGGAGTAAAGGAGAGGGAGAGTAAAGGAGAGGGAGTAAAGGAGAGGGAGTAAAGGAGAGGGAGTAAAGGAGAGGGAGTAAAGGAGAGGGAGAGTAAAGGAGAGGGAGTAAAGGAGAGGGAGTAAAGGAGAGGGAGTAAAGGAGAGGGAGTAAAGGAGAGGGAGAGTAAAGGAGAGGGAGGGCAAAAAAGCTACCCTTTTTTTTTTTGGAGGGAGGAGCAAACAGGAAAGCGGCACTCACTGCTTCTGCAGCGGCGACATCTCGACGCGCAGGATGCGCTCTATCTTGGGCGGAAGAGACTTCTCAACGTCCTTGATCACCCTCCGTAGCATGTGTGGCCGTAGCTCCTGATGCAGTGACGTGATCTGCATGGGGAGAAAGAAAGGGGGCAAGGGCAGGGAGGAAGTGGAGCCAAGGTCCGAGGATATGATGTGCTGCTGTTGCAGTGACAACACCTGGCAGGAGTGGGTAGAAGAGCCATAAAGAGTGAAACTGGGCTAGAAATAGGAATGGGACAGAATGTGAAACAGCTATTTCTCTTTCAGGAATGGAGCACATCCCCCTCACTCTTTTCTGAGGGAATAGAAGCTACTTTCTAATACTGCCTTCCGCATCTCACCTCCGTCTTGTCCTAATCAACCTCGCTCTCCCCTCACCTCCCTCCTCTCCCCTCATCCCATCCCTCTCCCCTCATCCCGTCCCTCTCCCCACATCCCATCCCTCTCCCCTCATCTCATCCCTCTCTCCTCATCCCATCCCTCCCCCTCACCTCCTCCGCCATCGCCACTCACCTCCTTCTCGCTCTGGTTCTCCAGCAGGTGTTTGTACTTGGCTGAAAACTCCTCCTTGTCGCCAAACTTTCTGTCGTCCAGGAAATGCAGCAGCGCCCTGGCAGGAGGACGAGGGGCGGATGGGCGAGGGAGGGGTGAATGGGACGCAAACGGATGGAGGACGAGGGAGGGGAAACAGGAGAAACGGAGCGAGGACGAGGGCAGAGCAGGGAGAGTCAGGAGGGGACGGGCGGAGTTGGGATGGGGGGAGACAGGGGGGCGACGTGAGATGGGATGGGGGGAGACAGGGGGACGACGTGAGATGGGATGGGGGGAGACAGGGGGACGACGTGACGTTGTACTTCTCACTTAAGCCATTGCGTTTCTTACCTGAGAAAAAACTCACCTTAGCTGCGGCAGCTCTCCTAATCTATGCTGCTACAGCTCCCCCACGGCAGCAGCACTCACCAGAGCTCCTCCACGCTGTTCTGCAGGGGCGTGCCGGTGATCAGCAGCTTGTTGCGCGCGTGAAAGCTCTGAAATGTGTGCAGGGGAAGAAGGGGGAAGAAAGGGGGAGAGGATGGGGAGGGAGGAGGAGAGAGGTGCAAAGGGCCGAGGGAGGAAGAAATGTGAGGGGAGAAGAGGACAAGCGCAGCTGACAAAAACATTGTGTGCAGGGCAGCTTACAATGAGCCCCATGCATGTGTGCAGGTGTAGAGTGCTGCCTCACTGTATTGAGGCGGTGGGCCTCGACGACCATGAGGTAGGTCCAGCGGATGGGGGCCAGCACAGCCCTGTCCTTGAGCACAAGTGAGAGCTGAAACACCCCTCCCCCTGGGACACCCGCCTAGGCTAATGGCTTGGCTTGCTTACAATGAGCGTAGTGTAAAGAGCCACCTCAGAGTTCTTGAGGCGGTGAGCCTCGTCGACAATGACGTAGGTCCAGCGGATGGGCGACAGCACGGCCTTGTCCTTGGTATCAGGGAGCATGGTGTGGACTTACAATGAGCGTAGTATAGAGAGCTGCCTCGCTGTTCTTGAGTCGATGCGCCTCGTCCACCATGAGGTAGGTCCAGCGGATGGGCGACAGCACGGCCTTGTCCTTGAGGACCACCTCGTACGTTGTTAGTAACGCGTGGAACTTGGTTTGCCGCCCGCCCTTCCTGCCCGCCTGCCAGAACTCGTACTGCTGCACAACCTGGCAGTGTTGGGGATGGAAGTGGAAGTGGGGGTGGTGGTGGATGGGGGGGAGCGGTGGCAGAGGGGGGCATCATGCTGCTCTGCAAACTATGCGCGCCTAGCCCTTATGCACCACGCCTGACCTCTCTGCACCCCCTCACTTACCTCTGGAGGCGCGGTTGTCAACGTAGAGCACGACATTGAGGGAAGGCAGCCAGCGGCAGCAGTGGTGATCTGCACACCCTCCCCCTCTGCACCCCTTATTTACCCCTCTGCACACCCTATTTACCCCTGTACACCACGACTCACCTCTCTGGAGGCGCGGTTGCCGACATATAGAGCATGACGTTGAGGGAGGGCAGCCAGCGACATCGGCGATCTGCACACAACAACACTCCTCTGCACCACGCCTCACTCCTCTGCATCTCTCACACCTCTCGTACCTCTCTGGAGGCGCGGTTGCCAACGTAGAGAACAACATTTAGGGAGGGCAGCCAGCGGCGCAGCTCCCTCTCCCAGTTGCTCATGGTTGAGAGCGGCACCACTATCAGGAAGGGGCCCTGTATCTGCTGCATGTGCTGCTCGTGCAGGGAGGGTCGGGGGGTTTGGGGGAAAGTTGAAGAGGAGTTGGCAGAGGAGAGGAGCCAGAGTGGGGAGGAGGAGGCAGGAAGAAAGGAATCAATAAATGGAAGTAGGAAAGGATTCACTATCACGAAGGAGCATAAGAGGGGGCAGAGGAACACGCGGAAAAGGGGGGGTGTTGGGGGAAATGAGCTAAAGGGGGCATTAATGCGAGAGGGGGGAGGGGGGGTGGGGAAAACGAGGTGAAGAAGGCATCAATGCGAAAGAGGGGAAGGGGGGGGTGGGGGACCCCATGCACCATGCACTCCATGCACCCCATACACCCCATGCACCCCATCCGCCGCCCCATGCGAGCATGCACCCCATGCTCGCAGGCATCATACGTACAAAGAGGAAGCCAAGCATGGAGACGGACTGCACGGTCTTGCCGAGCCCCATCTCGTCCGCCAGAATGACGCTCGTGTCCTTCATCCAACTGCCTCGGACACATGCATGCACACATGCACGCATGCACACATGCACACACATGCACACATGCACACATGCACACATGCACGCATGCACACATGCACGCATGCATGCACACACATGCACGCATGCACACATGCACACATGCACTCATGCATGCACACATGCACGCATGCATGCACACACATGCACGCACATGCACACATGCACACATGCACGCATGCACACATGCACGCATACATGCACACACATGCACGCATGCATGCACACACATGCACGCACATGCACACATGCACACATGCACGCATGCATGCACACACAACCACGCACAAGCATCCGCACATACACATACATGCATACACATTCACGCACATAAACATACATGCATGCGCATACATGTGGAAATCTCACCACATGTATGAGCACATACATACACATACATGCACACATGCAAACGCAGATGCACAAGAACACGCATGAGCATGGCATGCACATACATCTATGCAGGAGCATTCCCACACAAATGTGGGGTCCCAGGGGCCCTTACTCGTGCGGAAAGCAGCAAGATGCATTCCCACATTGAAGCAAGGGGGCAAAATGGACACAAAAACGGAAGCAGTAAAGAGGGGCGCGGGGCCCCTTGTGTCAATCTGCAGTCCCCCCACCCCTCTTCCCCCCACCCCTCTTCCCCCTACCCTTCTTCCTCTCACCCCTCTTCCTCCCCCCTCGTGCTGAGAAGCCGTGGGAGTTTAACATGTGTTGAGTTGCCCCCCCCTCCTGGGTCCTACCTGTGGATGAGGAAGTTGAGCCCCATGAGCTTGTAGTCCCTCTGCGTGCCGCCCTTTTGAACGAGGATGAGGAAGTAAAAGTAAAATTCTCAAAAGTGTAATCCACCTGTGGATGAGGAAGTTGAGCCCCATGAGCAGGTAGTCCCTCAGCGTGCCGCCCTTGAGCCACTCTCCCTCCACCCCTCCCCGCCCCCATGCTGTACGGCAGGTATCCCCCCCACGCGCTAGAGTACCTGTGGATGAGAAAGTTGAGCCCCATGAGCTGGTAGTCCCTCAAAGTGCCGCCTTTGAGCCACTCCGGCTGCACCTCCAGCTTGCTCATGCCTGGAATGGGGGGGATGGAACGGGGGGGATGGAACGGGGGGGATGGAACGGGGGGGATGGAACGGGGGGGATGGAACGGGGGGGGCAAAAGAGGGCGGCCAAAACAGGGCAAGGCGGGACGAGGAGGGCGAGGGGAAGATGTTAATGCAGGGGAACAGAACGGATTGCATGGAGTGAAAGGGGTCAATAGAGATTGGAAGGGGCGCGGAGAGGTATTGACCAATCTACACACGAGCTACATTTTCTCTGAGCCTGCACTGAACACCCTTCGCTTCCCTTGTCTCACCTGCTCCTCAGCATCCCTACTCTCACAGAAGCACGATCTTACTTTGGATGCTTCATCCACCTCTAAAGACCCGTTCCCCTCTCTCCCCAATCTCCTTCGTCCCACCCCTCTACCCCACTCCCCTTGCCCTCCTCCCCTCTGCTCCACTGACCTCTGCCCCACTCAACCTGCCCCACTCAACCTGCCCCACTCAACCTGCCCCACTCAACCTGCCCCACTCTCCCCTGCCTGCCCCCCTCTCCCCTGCCTGCCCCACTCTTCCCCACTCCACTCTATCACAATCCTCACTTCGGCAGCTCTTGCGTTGCGCCTCCACGCTCTTGCCCACCACCAGTGCTCCCGCCTCCCTCGCCTTGAACTCGTCTATCGCATCTCGTGCACTCTCTATATCCGCCTCCGCCTCCCTGCACGCGCAGACAAGAGGTGATGGAAGCGGATAAAGATGTGAGTGTAGTGACTTGTGAGTCGACTTGCTGCAGATCGTCTATCGCCTCCCTCGCCTTGAACTCGTCTATCGCATCCCTCGCACTCTCTATATCCCCCTCCGCCTCCCTGCACCCTTGAAACAAGTGGGGACGTAAGGTGAAGGAAACGAATGAAGGGAAGAGTTTGATTTGAAGACTTGCTACGATCGTCCAGAACCTCCCGCGCACTCTTCTTGAAGTCCGCCTCCGCTTCACTGCACTCGTGAACAAGCGGGGGGGGGGGGGGTGGGCACGAACGGAAGGTGAGAACCAATAAACAGGTGATCGTAGTGACTTGCTTGCTGCAATCATCGATCTGTGGCCTCCCGCGCACCACTATTCTTTGTGCAAGTGTGCAAGAGATGAATCACCTGACTGAACGAATGGACGCACCAGGTGGCTTCAGAATAGGAAAGCCCCTTCCACTTGACAAAGAACTCGTAGCTGCTGACCTCATCGCCCTCCCGCCCCACCTCCCCTGCTGCCTTGGCTGGCCGTTCCGCCACCACCCTGTCCACCTGGGATGCGCGCAGGCAGGCAGGGCAAGATTCCAGGGGAGAGGGGGGGGGGAGGGAGGAGGGAGAGTGGGGGCGGTGGGAAGAAATGGGAACGGGAGGCGTGTCATGTCATGCGCAAAGAACGGGGAGAGAAAATGGAAAAACAGGCATGAAACGTGCCATAGGGACAGAAGCTTAGAATCTACGCACACCCGCCCACCTGCGGGTACTGTTTGAGCAGGTCCAGCTCCATCTCGCGGCCCACGTTCAGCGCCTCCACCTCCTCTGCTGAGACAGTGGTGCCCGCGGCATGCCTACCCACATCCCTCCACATGCCAGTCTAGCCCAGCACCCCACATGCCACACAACCCCCACCTGCGAGTACTGCTTGAGCAGGTCCAGCTCCATCTCTCTGCCCACGTTCAGCGCCTCCACCTCCTCTGCTGACACGCTCAGGCGATACCGCCTCTCATCGTCCGCCCGCTTCATGTAGTTCTGCACCTTCTTGAACCCCGGCAGCTGTGGGTGGGAGGGAGATGGGGACGAGAGGCTTGGAGCGGGCTTGACAGGCAGACAAGATGCGGGTACCATGAAGAGGGATGCAGTAAGGTGGAGAGGGATGCAGTATGGTGAAAAGGAGTGCAGTACCGTGGAGAGGGTGGAGATGGGCAGCCAGTCGCAGTGCAGAAACGAGCGTCCCTTCCACTTCACATACAGTTCCTGCTGCTCCCAGTCGATGGCCTCGCTCACATCATACTCCAACACACACGGCCCCGTCGGCTGCCCCGCTGCCCGCATCTCCTCACTCCGCCCCAGCGGCTGGTGCCACAGCACACGCTCCACCACGTCCCCCTCCGCCTCCGCCTCTGCCTCCCCCGCCTCTGCTCCGTCCCCTCCGGGCAGCATGTCTTCGTCCTCCTCCTCGCCCTCCTCCCCCGCTGCTGCAATGCCCTGCGCTCACATCACATAGAGGCGAGGAGTAAGTGGTGAGCGTATGGCAGCAGGGAGGGACGTACTGATGGGAAACGCAGCAGACACGCTCTCACACAGGCGCACGGACTGCAGTGAGCACGCACCTTGAGTTTCTTCTTAGCAGGGGGCGCCAGGTCGTCCGAGTCCTCATCATCCTCAAAGTACGACTTGCGCGGCACGGCCCTCCTTGACATGCGAGTCTCTTTGAGTCTACTCAGAAGTCACCTCAGCTAGGGGCGCACCTTGAGTTTCTTCTTAGCAGGGGGCGCCAGGTCGTCCGGGTCCTCATCATCCTCAAAGTACGACTTGCGCGGCACGGCCCTCGGTGACACGCGTGTCTCTTTGAGTCTACTCAGAAGTCACCTCAGCTAGGGGCGCACCTTGACAGTTAAAGGCGCACCTTGAGTTTCTTCTTGGCAGGGGGCGCCAGGTCGTCCGAGTCCTCATCATCCTCAAAGTACGACTTGCGCGGCACGGCCCTCCTTGACATGCGTGGCTCCCTCGCTGCCACCCCCGCCCGCCCTCCCCCCTTCCCCGACCGCCCCTTCCGCCCCTCCCCTCCGCTGCTCTCACTCTCCGAGCTCCCCCCAACCCGCGCGCGTTTCCTCCCCCCCTTCCCCCCTCCTCCGCCTGCTGCCGCGCCAGCTCCCCCTCGCCTGGCCCGCGGCTTCCCCCGCCCCTCACTCTCACTCCCTGACTCGCTCTCACTCCCAGAGAAATCCGATGAGCTCTCATCGTCCCCCGCACCCGCCCCAGCTTCATCAAACGATTCGCTCCCGCTCCCTGCCTCCTCCTCCTCGTCCCCCTCCCCATCATCATCTGACGACTCAACAGTCCGCCGTCTCGCATTCGAGCGGTTGCTAGCACGGGTCCCTCTTCCCCCACCGCCTCCCCCTCCCCCTCCGCCTATTCCGCTCCCGGCGGCGGGTCTGGGGGGTGCTTTTCGGCGGTTGTTGGGGCGGCGAGACTGGGGCCGGCGGGAGCCGCCGCTGCTGCCGTCGGATGCGGAGGAGGACGCGCCGCTGGAGGAGTCCGAGTCGTCACCGGACGACGCGGGTGAGTCGCGGCCTTCCTCCTCCTCCTCATCCTCAGCGTCGCCCTGATATGGGACAGCAGCGGATGGGCGAGGCAGAAGAACAACGTGTGAGTCAGAACCGTAGGGCGGCAGGGGATAATTTGCGCAGAAAAGGTGAAAAACATTTCTCGATGTTGTCCGCGCTCACCTCCTTGCCCCGCCGCGCCAGTTGCCCATTCGGCGCGCAGCTGGTGGGGTCAAAGTCCTCGTCGTCCGGATCGTCCCCTGCACAAGAGCACAAGAGCACAAAAGCCCACGGGGAGGCAACAGGGCGTGGCATTTTAGTTTTGAGACGTCTCAATGCTGGTGGGGTCGAAGTTCTTGTCGTCCACGTCGTCGCCTGCACAGTCGCCGACCGGCAGGGATCAGGTTGTGGCATTCACACGAGTCCGCTGTTCACGAGCCAATAGAATAGGGCACCACAGCGGCAGGCGCTTCAAAAAGGCACGAAGCTACCCCTGGTTGTTTAACAAAGGAGATCGAGGCAGGCGTACCTGCTTCTTCCTCTTCCTCGTCGTCCTCCGACCGCTCCTCGTCCTCCTCCATCTCATACCCCGCCTCCTCGTCCCCCTGCCCGCCCCTCCTGCCGCTGCCCGACCCATCGCTCCCGCCCGAACTGCCCGACCCACTGCCGTCGTCCTCGGGCTTCATATCGCCCGCGCCAGGTCACGATGTACGCGCTATAGGAACCCGAGAATGTGTGCAGCGCACAATGCCCAACAGCAGACTCGCAAGCCTGTTGTGGCGTTGAAGCGAGGTCGAGGAAGTGAAGGGAACAGAGCCGCCCCTGAAGATTTGATCTTCTGAAGATTGAGAAGACGTTAAATACACGCTGAGGGCACGCAGGGCAGTGGACGTACAAGGAAGGAGGCACCAGGCGGAGAAACCGTGAGGCAGAAGAGAACAGCACGGAATCATGGGGGCCATGACCAAGGTGACAGCGCAAGCAAAGGGGCGATGATTCCGAAAAAGGAGGAGTGCGGAACGGTTCCGGACTGTCAGATGCTTCAAATCCACATGTGATCGCATGACACGCCTATCATTAGATCCCGGCACGGCCCTGCCCTAACGTTTGCGCTGATGACCAGATCTCGGTCCCAGCCCTGATCGTCGAGCTCTCTACGAAATGGGAGTGACAAATGGCGCTAGTCGGAGAGCACGACGTCAGACGGACCGAACGCACCGAGATTTTGAGCCGTAAGCCATTCACGGGGGTTGCTCTGAGTGGTCACTGTTTAGACACTAAGTGGAATCTGGACGGGCGATGCTGAGCTGGCAAGGATCTGAAACCCCACCTACCGGCCATGTGACATGTGACCTGACGCTTTCTTCTCCTAAAACAGCAGGATTCCTTGAATTAGGGTTACGCTCAAACGGGTTAACTGCTTGCGGGAAAGCGGAAATTAGGCCTCCATATGCGGTCTCTCGGAATAGATTTGACGCGGGAACGCATCGGAGCGATGTATAATGGACATCCGACGACGCATTTTCGTCTATATAGAAATTAGGGTTAGCATGTCCGGACTTCTGGACCATCAGGTAAGGCCTCATATATTCAGAAATTCCGATCTAATAACTCCGATTTGAGCGCACACCTAGGGCTCTGGAGACTCTACGGACCTCACAGCCGACGAATGGATGCCTCTAACAGCCAATCAAATTGATCTAATACGGTCCGTGAGGCTCTAAGATGGGCCCGGAACAGCCATGAAACTCCCACATCCGCAGGCGGAACGGAGGGCTTACTGAAAGACAGAGTCGTTATTAATCACACCAAGCCGCAGCGGACCGAAGGCGCGTCACAATCGCCCAAGAAAGCCGCTTGTGCGAACGCTATACGTCAAGGCAAGGGAGCCGAGCTTGGGGTTTCCAGCTGCTGTCATGGCTTCCGTACAAGCAGTTAGTGTGAAATCACCACTACCAGCTTTGTGACTTGTGTGCTTCAGCTCTGCACAGGTGAGGCAGGAAGAGAGGCGAGGAGGGGGAGGGGGGCGGAGCGGGGGAAAGCCGAGAGGGGTAGCACGGCAGAAGGGAGAGCCCAAGGCTCGGTTCGGCCTTGGGGATAGCGGCGGGCCAGGGTGCGGATGACATCAAGGGCTAGAAATCTCCGATGTTGGAATATTCTGATAAATATACCACGGGAGTTCAATAAATGTCAAAACTAATGTTGAAAAAAAACATTTGGGGAAGACTGGCAATGGGGGTCACGTATGAGCTATTCCAATGGCTGTTGTTGACATAATCGCTACTATGTTTGCTTTCTAGTATAAAGCTAGTTCTGTACATTTTTAGCACTCTTACCTATACTCATATACTATAACATGCCTACACGAAGTCATTCAGCCATTGGTGGAAAGCTCAGAGTCACCTTTAAATGTGCTCCTTCATAGCAGCACAGGTATGCTGTTTATTGGACTTTATTAATAGGCCTACGTGCACCTAGCGTGGTGTTAGTAGAGAGTTAGTGGATGACTAAGCCAGCCTACAGAGCTCCGATCCTGCACCTTGTACTCAAAATTGATGGGGTCACATAGTCGAGTGCAGTTCTTTGCACGGATGGCTGCACCGAGTCTCTTATTCCAAGTGCTGGGTAATGAAGCAGATCTGACAAGTGAGTGTACAACAAAGTGCCATGGCTCCCAAGGTTGTCGAGGCTCCGTCCAGTAAGAGCTTGACTCAGCACCCCTTGAACAGCTGAGCTGGTCTGTACAAGGACGAAAGAAGCACACAAGAGGGGAGTCAGTCGTGTCATGCGCTACAATGAACCATCCAGCAGCTCACATGGACCTACGCTACACTAGTTATTGAAATACACCACAATCACTCCTCCTACCTGGAGTTCAGCTACCCGGATGTTGAAATGGGCCTCAGCTTCCTCTGGCGTTTGTAGCAAAGGGTGCGCCACACTCATGCTCAAATGCACCCTCCCCAGCCCTTCCAACACAACTTCATATGTATCCACATCAAAAGGTCCATCTTCTTCCTCCGCCGTCTTCCTTATCTCCACACCTCCATCTGCTCCCACAACTGCCAGGTCATCATGGAAACGTGGCGGTGCCACGTCAGCACTGTCCACCTGCATGAGAGCGAGGAAGCCGTGGGCGCCCCTGTCCTGCTGGTTGCCTGTGCGCGCCACCATCCGCAGCGAGTGCTGCTTGCCGGCACCTGACACCCACACCACTCCCACCTCCTTCACCCACACATGCAAGCTCCCCTCTGCCACTCTCCTCGGCATGCCTGCTGCTGCCAGCGCTGCTGCTGCTGCGGACTCTGGTCCCTGATGGCTCTGCAGCAGCACGTTGATTTGGATCCGACGGTCGGCAAGCAAGCAGAAAGTTTTTCCGAGCTGCCCGGGGAAGTCGAAGAGGGTCCCGTGCACGCCTGTGATGCGCGGGTCGGTGTTGTCCAGGCGAGACGTGTCGCATGAGCCTCCCACCCTGCCAGGGTTATGGTGCAAGGGGACGGAAAGGTTGATTATGACTCCATATCGTGCGCAAACGAAAGCCACAAATCGCATCTTGATGGATGCACCTTCGACACCTGGTTTAGAATACCTATGGAGAAATAAAACGTTGTATGCACACTCCCACCTTAGCACGCCTTACTGTATATGCCGCGGCAATGAAGTATTCACTATGCGAGCACCTGGATTGCCAGGTGGAAGCTAGATAAGCTTTCCCAGGGGGACCTACCAGCTAAGCGGGTAGTATGCGGCCATAGCATCCTGCTCTCTTCCATCCCCGCTATAAGGATGTCTCAGCCCTTCTGTCCGGCCCGACCCCGCGCTCTTCTCCAGAAGGTAGCACTGCACGCCGTCAATGAAGCCCCGCACGTTAGAATTGTCGGCTAGCCGTTTGCTCGGGAAGAAGTGGTAGGCGTGGCAGGCCTTGTCGGCCGCGCACGCTCTGCAGCAGCTCTCCAGCGTGCCTCCGCTGGCGCCTCGCACGATGTCCACGTGGTTACCAACCTCCTGTTACACATCATTGAATTTGTTGCAGAATTGAAAACGCGAAGTGAAACGCGAAGAAGAAGCGCGCACAGATTCGAGGCGCACGGTTCACGAAACAACGAGTTAAGTTGTCGGAAATCTAAAGAATGATGCAGCCGCAATCGAAGCAGGACACCATGAGCTGCTAACACGCGCGTGTGCTTATTTCTAATCGAACTGCTACTAATAATGCTATTCCAACCAACATCTTGAAAGACGTTTCACCGCCACAATTTAGTGCGCGCAAGAAAGCGACTCGCTCCGCACCTGATAGACTTCGAGATTTAGCGGGCCTGATCCCGCTTCGTGCGCCTTGTATTTTCCGCCCTGACTGTTGAATCGGCCTCTAAATTGTCCAATTAGCGCGAGGTCCGTGAAGTTTCCTTCCGTTATTGTCACATCGCGGAAGGTGTTGAGACGGGAGCACACGGCCTGGACGTGACACCCGTTCGCGGGGAGGTTCGAGGCTAGGGAGCTTTGCAGGAGAAGCAGAGCGACTAATAATATTCTCCAACCCTCGTATTCTCCTGCCATATTACTACCGCGTCAAGTTAGTTAATACGACGCGATTGCGAAGTTCTGCTATGCCCGTGAGATGCGCTATGTACGAAGAGACCCTTGGTTGTCTGTACGGACATGCCGCTGGTCCATTAACTTGCTTGTGGGGTGGTCTCGGGTGATACCACGAACGACATACGGTAAATTACTTCTCTGTAGTAACGAGAAATGCACGCCATTCCATCAGAGGAGAACTTCTCAGCTCGGTCACGTCACATTGCGTCTTCACATCATGTCATCACGAAACGAAGTCATTTTTCCAGCCTAAGTTAGGAACTTCGGAGACACGGCGATTCTGCACGAGATGGGATAGCAGCTCCGTTCTGTCGCACCGCTCCTCATTTTTGCCCACTGGGAAAGCATTGTCGATGTGTGTTGGCGAGCTGGCGACGAGGATTCACGCTCTCGCGAAGACGAACGTAAGGCTTGTTGCGAAGCTGTAACTTGGTCGCAAACTCATGAGCCCAGGCATCCTCCAATCAGCGTCGCTGCTGGACATCCGGAATCGGCAATCAGTTGGCCCCTCTGGGTGGAGTGAGGCGAAATGTGGGTTCGTGCTGTCCGTGAAATGGTGGCTGAATCCCTATCGAATTTTTCGTTAGCGAACACGGGGAGAAATCGCTGGTGATTCAGATAAATGTGAACTTGTGTACACACATCTTCAAGAAACCAGCATGGATTTGCCATTAAAGGAAGCCACTCAACTTCTCTGTACACATTCGCTAGACATAATGCAGCCAGTTCGTATATACATACAGTTCCACACAGGCAGCAAATTTACCGGCCTAGCAATGCAGGCCCACTCATCAATGCAGTCCATATACGGTAAGTTCAATCACCCAAAACCCAAGTCCCATTGTTGTATTGCAACTGCGAGACTTACACGCCTGTCCTGTTCCATATGCCAGACATTTTAAACAATGATGTAAAAATGGTGGCCAGGAGGGATTCAGGAACAAACCTACCCACAAACTTGCAAGTGAAGTAGCACAGAAAGGGGATCACAGTGAGCATGACGAGAATGTTGATGATCATGTTTCTCAGGAGATGCTTCACAAAGTGCCGGAGGAGCCGACCAAACTCCTCCCGGTCGATGACCCCGTCATTGTTGAGGTCGAATTTCTGCTCGAGACAGAAAGACACAGCAGCTGAGTGTGAGTTTTCGAGTTAGGTCCAAACCGGAAACAGTCAGAAAGGACTGGTTGGTCAAGCGCACGAGGAGAGTCCTGTGCACAGGTGCCCGAAAAGCGCCATGGTGAGGGTGCGAGGACAGAGCTATCAGCTAACAATGGCAAATGCACGGCGAAAGCAGAAAAACGCACCTTGACCAGCTTGAGAACGTCCTTCTTCTTTGGAGGGCTCAGATAACTCCCAGGAGAGTAGCGGTTCACGTAGCTGGAGTGCGGGGGGGGGGGAAAAAGGGAGGGGTCAAGATGGGAGAGTGGGGGATTTGTGAGGAATGGGTGAGTGGGGAGAGGAAAGTTGGAAAATGGGGAACGGGAGTGGGTGAGAAGAGAGGGGAGCAAGGAGGCTCATGGTTAGAAGTCACAAACTCTGGAGACGTTTACGAGATTCATACTGGACAGGTCACAGCGCATTCTCGTGTACGAGAGAAGCAAATCATCGCTTTTGAGGCGCCTGAATGACGCACTCACTTGTACACGAGCAGCACGCCGGTATAGCTCCGGCATGTTGATCATGGCAGGACAGGTCATGGCGCATTCACTTGTACACAGAGCAGCACGGAATGTTTCCAATACGCCATGATGACGCACTCACTTGTACACGAGCAGCACGCCCGTGTATAGCTCCGGCACGTTGATCACCGGCCGCCCCTCCTCGTCCTTCTTGCCGTCCAGCTCCGCAAGTTCCAGGAAGGCGCGGTCCACGGCCTTCGTCACCACGTCCCCTGTTACCGCAGAACACATCGGGGTTTTCCTTCAAGCTTACCATTCACCACTAAGTTACAGGAACATGCGATAATGTTACCAGCGCATGCAAAATCGGCATGATGTCAGACGTTGTAATGACTCATGAAAAACGTTTACGTCGGGTTTCATGCGTAATAAATACTCTCACTCACAGCTTGCGACTTTGTTCGCCACTGCGCGGCTTCTATCGCGTATACGAAGCGAGGACGGCATCGTAATGAGTCTGGATATGCGAAGCTGTGAGTCAGTAACCGTTTCAAGAAAGAAGCTGACTTCGACCTCTGAAATTAAGAGGACGGTCGTCTCGATGTTCGTCCAAAAAAAACTTTGAAAGCGCGTTTCAAGGAAGATAAATCTAAGAATAGGATAGCAGATATGCGCGCTTCCTAAATGTAGTAAAGTAGCGCATTCACGCTGAGGACACATTGGAATTTACGCATTCACTAATTTTGCGCCCGTCACAATTGGGCGCATCCCCTCCCCCGCACCCCTACCCTCGCCCCCCCCGCACTACCCTGGTGCCCTCGTTTTTTAAGTTTGGTCCTTGGGATGCGCCAATCAGGATGCAGCAACCTCCCGCCCTGAGCGAGTACGAAAACATGCGAATTCATTACGCGAACAGTATACAGCACACGACACAGAAGGTTACCACAAGAAGCGAGGGAAACACTGATAAGGCAACAAAGCACGTAAGGTCACTAGTTACAAATTTGATCACCGTAAGGTAACGACGAGTGGTGATAACGAGTGATATATTTTCGGGAACAAGTGATGATCAGCTTGAACCAGATTGCAAGCGAGATCTCCATATCTCGCTACAATGCTCCTTACCTCGTCTCGGAGCATGACTTCATACCTCGTCCATATATCGGACGAGGGAGCGTGACCGCATTACAATGCTCCTTACCTCGTCTCGGAGCGTGACTTCATTACCCTCACCTGATTCCCAAATCCAGCGCGGCTCGATTCCAGCATTAAATTTATCCAGCATCACTCAATCCTCGAATCTACTCGCGTGAAACGCGCGCCGCGCCACCTTCCTCGAATTCACGTCGTCTCTCCCGATCCGCCCGTCCTGGACAGCACTGCTTCGAGGCGCCTCAAAAGTAACGGGTAGCGTCACCCTTTCCGTTCGAAAGGTCTCAGCTTTTTAACGGTTTCAGCGTATTATCCATTATCGAACTTAGTGGCTGAGTTAATCGAAGGTCTCAGCTCATTAACGGGTAGTTGAGTTAACCCTTGGCGGCTGTCCGCACATGGCCGTAAAATGTCTCTTCGCTTGTGCTATCAGATGCTTCTCTCCTCTGCATCGTCACAGTTGCCTCTGCATGCCCGTGCGGATGGCGCACTTACGTCGGGCATGGCCATCAAGTCGTCAGCAAGCATGCCCGTGCTGACAGCAGGTGCCGCTCAGCGGATGGCGCTCGGCGGATGGCGCTCGGCGGATGGCGCTCCGCGGATGGCGCTCGGCGGATGCAGCTAGAGCAGGGGGGCCAGCTGAAGCAGAGGGGACATGCTTTCAATACTTGTCGTCTTCAACATGAGTGGTATGATAGCACCACTGCCATGCTGACAGGGGATGTGCACTTCAGGTGAGATGTGCACTTCAGGTGAGATGTGCACTTCAGGTGAGATGTGCACTTCAGGTGAGATGTGCACTTCAGGTGAGATGTGCACTTCAGGTGAGATGTGCACTTCAGGTGAGATGTGCACTTCAGGTGAGATGTGCACTTCAGGTGAGATGTGCACTTCAGGTGAGATGTGCACTTCAGGTGAGATGTGCACTTCAGGTGAGATGTGCACTTCAGGTGAGATGTGCACTTCAGGTGAGATGTGCACTTCAGGTGAGATGTGCACTTCAGGTGAGATGTGCACTTCAGGTGAGATGTGCACTTCAGGTGAGATGTGCACTTCAGGTGAGATGTGCACTTCAGGTGAGATGTGCACTTCAGGTGAGATGTGCACTCCAGAGCACCATTCTTGCAGACTTGCTCACACTCACACCCGCTCTATCTCATTCTCACCACATATCCCCGCTCCCAGCACATACACTCAGCGCACATACACCCAGCGCACATACACCCAGCGCACATACACCCAGCGCACATACACCCAGCGCACATACACCCAGCGCACATACACCCAGCGCACATACACCCAGCACACATACACCCAGCACACATACACCCAGCGCACATACACCCAGCGCACATACACCCAGCGCACATACACCCAGCGCACATTTTCGCCCGGTCTCGCTCCCAGCACACGTGCTCCCTACTTTTGGTCCCAATTATGTAGATTTGTCTGAAAGTCTCCAGAATTGTTTGTAAGTTTAAAAAATGTGCCTCAGCGTACATACAAATTGTTTTCTAAGCGCTCATACACTCACGTGTCTAGCAGTGTCATGGTTACTGCGCTTATCATGGTTACTGCGCTTATCATGGTTACTGCGCTTATCATGGTTTTCCTGCCTCCATGTTTTCCCCAAACTGCCAGGTTGTGGTAAATTTGTCGGCAGATGTGGGCAGCATGTGTGGGTGGTATGTGGGCGGCATGTGTGGGTGGCATGTGGGTGGCATGTGGGTGGCATGTGGGTGGCATGTGGGTGGCATGTGGGCGGCATGTGTGGGCGGCATGTGCAGGCGGCATGTGTGGGCGGCATGTGCATTTTGCCTTCTGCATTTTGCATTTTGCCTTCTGCATCTTGCATTTTGCATTTTGCATCTTGCATTTTGCATTCTGCATTTTGCATTTTGCATTCTGCATCTTGCATTTTGCATTTTGCATTTTGCATTTTGCATTCTGCATTTTGCATTTTGCATTCTGCATCTTGCATTTTGCATTCTGCATTTTGCATTTTGCATTCTGCATTTTGCATTTTGCATTTTGCCTTCTGCATTTTGCATTTTGCCTTCTGCATCTTGCATTTTGCATTTTGCATCTTGCATTTTGCATTCTGCATTTTGCATTTTGCATTCTGCATCTTGCATTTTGCATTCTGCATTTTGCATTTTGCATTCTGCATCTTGCATTTTGCATTTTGCATCTTGCATTTTGCATTCTGCATTTTGCATTTTGCATTCTGCATCTTGCATGTTGCCTTCTGCATTTTGCATTTTGCCTTCTGCATCTTGCATTTTGCATTTTGCATCTTGCATTTTGCATTCTGCATTTTGCATTTTGCATTCTGCATCTTGCATTTTGCATTTTGCATTTTGCATTCTGCATTTTGCATTTTGCATTCTGCATCTTGCATTTTCCATTCTGCATTTTGCATTTTCCATTCTGCATTTTGCATTTTGCCTTCTGCATTTTGCATTTTGCCTTCTGCATCTTGCATTTTGCATTTTGCATCTTGCATTTTGCATTCTGCATTTTGCATTTTGCATTCTGCATCTTGCATTTTGCATTTTGCATTTTGCATTTTGCATTTTGCATTCTGCATCTTGCATTTTGCATTCTGCATCTTGCATTTTCCATTCTGCATTTTGCATTTTCCATTCTGCATTTTGCATTCTGCATTTTGCATTTTGCATTTTGCATTTTGCCTTCTGCATCTTGCATTTTGCATTTTGCATCTTGCATTTTGCATTCTGCATTTTGCATTTTGCATTCTGCATTTTGCATTTTGCATCTTGCATTTTGCATTCTGCATTTTGCATTTTGCATTCTGCATCTTGCATTTTGCATTCTGCATCTTGCATTTTGCATTCTGCATTTTGCATTTTGCATTCTGCATCTTGCATTTTGCATTCTGCATCTTGCATTTTGCATTTTGCATCTTGCATTTTCCATTCTGCATTCTGCATTTCGCCTTAGTTCTCCAGAAGAACACCTCACTGAGTTCCTCAATCCGTCTGTGCCTTGCTGCGTGGATGACAGATGAAGGAGGTTCAGGCAAAAATGGCAGGAGACAGCAAGGGCAAACAGGGAAGAGCAGTACCTGCAGATAGCAGCAGCAGCAGCAGCATGAGCATGAGCAAGAGCACAAGTGCCGTGACGAGAGAAGGGATGGCAGATGTAATGGCCCCAGAGGATGGTGAAGGCGTGCCTTCTCATGCTAGGCCCTCTGATGCTACCACCTTAACCAGCAGCACTAAGGGCACATCACCAGCACCAGCATCAGCACCAGCATCCTCAGTGGCATCAGCAGCAGCATCGCAGCATGCGGCGTTGGTGGCATGTTGGGCGCGCAGGCGGCAGGCAGTGCGGCACGCGCTGGTATCGCACCACCTGGCGCAGCGAGACTACCCCACTGCACTCCTCTGGCTGCAGCGCCTCCTGCGCTACGAGCCAAGCAACGCCGCCCTGCTCTCGCGGTACGGCCTCGTTCGGCTGCAGCTGGGGGACGTGGAGGGCGCGAGCGCCGCGTTCGGTTTGGTGGAGAAGATGGTGGTTCATCGTGAGGTGGAGATGGAGAGTGAGGGGGGGAGTGGGGGGGGAGGTGGAGAGGGGGAGGGGGAGGGAGGAGATGCGAGTAACACAGCAGGAGCAGGAGCAGGAGCAGGAGGGACAGGAGCAGGAGCAGGAGCAGGAGCAGGAGCAGGAGGGACAGGAGCAGGAGGAGGGAGCGATGGGGGTGTGGGGGCAGGGGGGGTGACAGCAGCAAATCTGGGCGAGATGAAGCGGCTGGTGCGACTGAACAAAGCTCTGGTGCACTTTGCTCGCAAGGAGCACGGGCAGGCCCTGCAGCTGTTCACTGCGGTGACAAAAGAGGATCCCACCAACTCCATTGCTGCGAATATCAAGGTGAGGGGATGTGGTAACCAGGTTACATATTGGGTGGGTAGCCAGGTGATGATAAGGCACTTTGCTCGCAAAGAGCACGGGCAGGCCCTGCAGCTGTTCACTGCTGTGTCTAAAGAGGATCCCACCAACTCCATTGCTGTGAATAACAAGGTGAGACAAGGTGGTAACCCTGTTACTTGATGAAAGAGCCAGGTGATTCAGCCAATTCAAAAGGCACTTTGCTCGCAAGGAGCATGGACAGGCGCTGCAGCTGTTGTCTGCTGTTACCAACAACAAGGTGAGGCGAAGGTGAGGCGAAGGTGAGGCAATGTGGTAACCAGTTTACATGGTGGGATAGCCAGGTGAGTCAGACAGAACAGAATGCGTCTCACATGTTGCACTTGGTGTTGTAACCAAGTTACATTGGTGTGGTATCGTCATGCAGTTACTGTTCACATGGTTCCACCTACCATTTCATCCCC